ATCATCGTCTACTGAAAAGGTGCCAAAAGTGTCTGAGTGTTCTGTGCTCAGCACTGACGTGATAACACAGCCAGTTTCTTTTGTACGGACAGATCAAGTATGCTATCCTACGGGTTAGATGACCAGGCCGACAGAAAGACTTCCTATCTAGAGAACTGTATAAGCGAAACGATCGGATTCGAATAGTGAGTACAGGCTTTTCTTTACCTCTTTCTCCCACCTTTCTAGTCCCTGCAATATCGGTATTTTCTACCACTGGTCATAATTTTTTTCCTTAGACGACAACCGATGCTGTATCCCCCCTCAATTCTGTGAGCAATAAGCAAGTGACTGAATGAAATACTAGCAGTTACCAGAAATCTTCTTGGCGATGTTGGTAGGGTCTGCTGCAGATGGCAATGGTGGTGCATATTCCGTTGTTACTAATTTATGAACTTTCTCTTTGTCTGAGAAAGTAGCTGGACTGTCATCTTGTTCTTTCGTTTACGGAAGTGCCACGTCTGCTGCGGATACGAGTCTGCTTGTACGCGCGTTCATTACTTGAAACGAGCACGACTACCATATAGTACGACTGTTGCTGCTGGGACTACAACACCGATAAGCTTGAGGGTAAATGCTCAACAAAAACAATAACAGACGCTATTACTTTTTATATATATAACAGTGTGATATGGTAAAGATTTTGCTACTACAACTGCTTCTAGTATTGTTGACAGCGTTCTCTTTGTCGCTCCCTCTCCTTGCCTTTACCACTGCTACACATATACAGTTTAGTACGAAACTATTACCGTCGTGCTGGTTACCATAGCCAGCAGCAGTAGCAGCGGCAGAAGCGTCTGCATTGTCGTAAATATCATTCTTCGGGTCAACACCATCATCATCATCGTTATCATCAGAAACAACGCGTCGTGCTGCTCGTTCACTTAGGGTCTTTTTTCCCCCACTCAATCAGCTCTTTTGCTGTCATCAGTGAAGAGTATCAGTAGAACCAGCATTGTCACTAGCGTCGTCTAGCTACAGACACTGAAGATCTACATTATGTCTACGATCTTCTCTTTGGTCTCTGAAGCTAGCGGCCGCAGGCGTTAGGTCGGCTTCATATTCTATAAGTGTTTTTTTTTCCACTTTCCTACATTTTGTTGGTCTTTGTTTGTTTGTCTGTGTGTGTGTTGGCACGTGGATGTGCATGCTCGTGCGTGTATGTGTGTGTGTGTGCGTATTTGGGAGTGTGTTCGTATGCGTTGCCCTCGGAGAGACATGCAGGACGTGAAATTTACTATTAGCTCGCAGAAATTGGTAGCGATAGTATTTTTTCACGCCGGCGTTAACTTTATATATACTTCACTTTTTTATATACTTAACATAAAACTATGAAAATCGTCCGAAGCATTAGTCGAATAAATAGCGAGATTTGGTCGCTGTGTTGTTGGCAGCTGACAGATCCGTTCCGAACTATGTTATCGTGGTTGTGTATATATGATTACTCTTATTGTCGTTACTATTTGTTGTAACCAGAAGTGGCAGACAATGACGTCCCTGTGGCCGTAAGTACCATAACAATGGAATTTAGGACAAGGTAAACTGAGCCAATCGCCTACCGTCCTCCGCAGCAAAGCAGCGCCACTGCAATCAGTTGAATTTCGAATTTCGCGCTCAGTGTCGAGACAAATAGACAATGGACGCCAAAAGGACGCGGATAGGAAATTGACTCTGAAATTTCTTGTTCGCGAATTTAAGCCGGATTATGGGATATCGTTAATTCGTAGACCTTATCAGTTCGGCAATATCAATAAAAACAAAATATTATATAGTAAAACAAAAAGTACTACGCTTTCACATGTCAGTTTTAACAAAACGGATACAAGCGTATGCATTTTCTACAGATAACAAATAATCATAGAGAACAGGTAGAAAGGTATAGGTGTGTATGAAGATGCGGATATCTTACAAGTGGTACTAGAGTGAGCAAAACTAAGAAAAATGTCACAAAAATTAGAATACCTTATTGCATCTCTGCTTGCGATGACTTTTACTCCTCTTCTTCCTGCTTCGCTCTTCATCGTAAGAAAATTAGAACTAAGCAAAACCCTTTCGTAATTACCTAATTAAAATAGGCGGTGCGGTCCTTCCTAATGCCAGAAGATACTTGTGCAACTGAAGTTCAAATGGAATGATACATATTTATTGTAAATGAAAGCGAAGAGTTTTATCTACCTTTTTGTATAAATTTATATAATCGTTGTAGCAATCGCAAAAACACAAAGCTAATCACAGCTGAAAAACGACGAGAGTACTGTCGCACGTAGTTTAAATAGACAAACAATTGAATTAGCAATAATTTTCTTGTCATTCAAGCTAAACGACTGATAAAAAAAAAAAAAAAAGTACATGGTTTTTAAAAACTGTATACTAGCATCCTGTTTCTGTTTAATGAAGGTTATTTTCGAAATTACACCTGTTACACGCATACTCCATTGGATACCTGCTCGTGTGCGTCTATACATAACCTGTATCTTGACCTACATTTTCGAACTGAATCCTTCTGTCACGTGCGTACGTTAGCAGGTGGATTAACCCACTGTATGTTGTAGATTACCTTTATTTCGTATTGCCCGTGTAACTACTGGACTCTTGCTTATATCAGCATCTATTAGAGATCTATTATATGTAGCCACATCAGCTGCTTTTTATTGTTCGATTGCTTTATATTGTTTTTATTGTACGACTATGTAAGGTTATTTCAGTCATCTTCAATGGATCATTTAGAAAGCTTCGTCAAACAACGACAGCTCCGGATGTCCTAAAGCTCAACGCAAATCATATCATTCCATGCACAGTTGAGCACACACACAAAACATTCACAAAAATACACCCATTCACTTATCAAGCCACATGCACACAGATCACAATTGTGACTAGAAGATGGTGTGTACTATTAAGAATGATGCTACTATGACGATTGCTAGTGGCAGTGTGTATGTTATCGTTACCTATAGCCTTGGTTACGATGTTGTGTACGTTAGGTTATCCCAACAATGGGCGACCTTTTGTTGATCGGATTGCGACGTTAGTTGTTGTCGCTCGTTTTTATTTCTCGTCAGTTCCAGTTGTGTATCGTTGACGGGGTACAAATAGCCCATAGTCGGCTAGTTTTTTCGGAAAGGCATAACACAATGTGCACCCACTTTAAGTGACCCGTACTCACTTTATTATTTTCGTTTTTTTTTCGATTTTCTCTTTCTGTGGCGCTGTGTTTCGAGACACAGTGTGCCTATCCTACTGAGTCGAACTACTGCGAACGCGATAAAAGGCCTAGTGAGTATATCATCAAACTGACAGCCTATCCGAGCGTGTGTGTGTTTGCACAGTCCTAAACTATGTGTCCTGCTGGCGGTCAGTATGCGCGTATGTGGGCGGCGTTGAAACGTGTCAAGTCGAAGGCAAATCAGAAAAAAACCCTTTCATTTTTATTTCTTGAAAGACAAATCTCAGCTCCGTTCCTATCGTTTGGCGAGTTTTCCCCATGCCTTTTGCCATCCCCATCTAGCTCCCCCGGCCGCCGTTATTCTGTCTTCTTGCCATATGTGTCTAGCTGTCCAAGGAAAGTAGTTAACTAAACGGGCCCTGCTGGGTGGAGGGTCTTCATCGTCTTGAATTAAAAAGCTAGAAACAGAGTCGCCGCCGGCACCGCCGTTCCAATCGGGTTTTCAAATATTAAGCAAGCAACCGAACGGACGACAGTCAATACGTTTCGCTGGCAAAAGAGTCGGACGCTAGTTAAAAGTTGAGTGTGGCCCGGTAGCTTTCAACTGCGGTCGAAGATGTCGTTCATTTGAACGAATGAAAACAAGACGTAATAAAGAACGCTGTTCGCTTTGGCTCCTTATTGATGGCAAGCGATTGCCGATCACTGGATAGGATCCTCGTGTAACGTTTACTGCTATGAATCTCTATAAACGGCGGAAAATAAAAATCACAACTGCAGTAAAGAAAAGAACGAATATTGCCGGCCTTTTATTATTGGTGACCTAATGAGTTGCAGCAAGTTTATGCTTCTTACACTTAGGCTACTTAGGGAGATAGGCTGTGCATATTATAGCTGACTGTAAATATTAAATAGTGTTTTCACCTTGTCAACGTACTTGTATGATAGAGCTGTTAGAAAATTAGGTTTATCCAAGAACATTATTAAGAAGGATGACTCAGTGTTGTTGGAGCCTTAGTCAAATCAATATCGTAGATAATAAATTAAGGGCTTGAACGCAGTTACTTCTGTTCTAGTCGCAGAAGCGTTATATAGTACTTTAGTCATTGAAAAAACTGATTTGTGTTGTCGATGCGCCTGATTATTCTCCCCTCGAAATTCTATATATTACGACAAGTCACCGTTACTGTGGCCGGTAGCCAGACGATGGTCAAGAGCGATGATGTCTACCAAGATGTGTTGAATAGCTAGATGCAATTGTTTTTACAGCATATCTGCACATCATAGGCAAAGCTTTCAGCTGGTGTGCTGCTAAACATGGCAGCTACATGTTCACAATTAATCATTTCAAATATTATTGTGACTGCAGACACTGAGCAGCATCAGATATTGGGTCGTCGTACTTATGTCCTTTCGGTATATTGCACATAGAAGTTTGAACATACATTTGTATATGGATACCATAGTTGTGGGCCAGTTCGGTTATACTATTTTTAAATTATGATCTTTATTTGCATTTGGCCTATTTGTCAGGAAAGCGTCATCTGTTCACGGCATTACGCAAACAACGATGTCGCTCTTATATACCTTGGAATATGTGGCAGTTTTTTCCTTGTGGTTTCACTTCGTTTACTATTATCATTGACTCCATATTTCGTCGTCAAATTTTCACCGCATGACGCTTCCAACCTCTGGATACTGAGGGTTTTAGAAACATGCTCACGTACGTATACATGAATAGATGTGAGAGCTTAGATGTATAGGTCATCGGCTAGTAACAGCGTGTGCAATATACCTGTTGCCATGTCTCCTCTAGCGAAGGCGTCGAGGGCAGGTATCCTGTATCGTGGATCGCCTGCAACTCGTTGAAGATGCTCCCTGAGGGAAGAATGTCCATTGTGGTTGTATGTCCGCTGTAGGCCCTAGCCCCGATGGGCAGGCCACTGAACTGGGACTCTTCAGCACACTCCACACAACAACTCAACACAAAGTGTATCGCAGGGCTAATCCAGGGCGAAAAACTTGCTTTAGCGCTGTTATCGTTGATGCCTTATTTGTATTTCTCACGATGCTCTTCCGTTCTCCGTAAAGATCTTTCTTTACGATTTTTATCCTTATTCCTCACTCTATTATATTATTATGTATCCTTAGGGCAAATCTTTTCCTTGCCTTTCAATTCTTGCACTCGGGCACACAGAAACGATATTTCGTAGCAATCACCGAGATATTACCTTCCTTCCTCTTTACTATTATTATTATTATTATTATTATCGGTGTAAATGTATAGTTGTAGTAGCTAGTGGAACCACAATATGTAGATGATATTGTTGTATCCAAACGTTTAACGATTTTTTCACTGTTATTCCTTTGTGTATCTTTTTGTAGAGGTAGTATCTGATAATGACGATGATGATGTTGTTGCTGTTGTTCGTTTGTGCGGTTCTTCAGCTGCCGCTGTCACAATGGTTAATAGATAGACTGTGACGACGGCAAGCACGAATGTAGCGTGTAATAGTGGGATGAAGCAAGCAAAAGGCGTACGAACAAACAGGCTATCTTGCTTTGAAATCTTCTTATACCAATACGTAACCAGTCGCGAGCACGGTATCCTTTTGTAGAGCTTATCTAATCTTTGTTTCTTTCACACTCCTGCCTTTTCTTTCTGTATCACTATTAGGTCAACACACACATTCACACCTATACAGCACACAATTATGCTCGTCCTTAATTCTGCCCCCTTTTCACTCTCGCACGATCATCGCCTACGACAAATACTCTCCGTGGCTCATCACTGGTAATAATAACAAGAATAACAACAACGACTCTGACACATACATGGTGAATTTATACCGAACGAGTAGCACGTGGTAGCATGGAAAGCCTATGGATAGGACAAGCTTTGACTCGACCTGCCACTGATCGATATGCAACAACGATGAAAATTCAATAGCCTCGAACTAAGATGACTATGTAATGATATCGGGATTTCGATCAACGGAAACAACATCAGCAACAATGGGTTGGCGGTGACAATAGATTGATGACAAATGACTGGTGCGTGTGAGTCAGATGATCAGAAGCCAGCGGCGACAAATTTTCGTCGTATGATGCTTTCGTCGCTTGCCTTTTCCCTTGCCTATTACTGTTCCTGTTGCGGTATTACGTTCCTTCGTCGATGTCAGTCGTTTGCTGCTTCGAGCCGTTCGAGACCGACCACGAGTGCTACGCCTATAATCTACCACTACAGATCCTACTAGCCGTCGCAAAGGTAACAAAGCATTATTAGTATTAATTACTAAGCTAGCGCCATTTTCAACGTTCAGTGTTCTATGCTCGTAGGTGCATTCGTTGAGAAATTGTGTCGGATCGTTGGCTAACAAGACTATAGGCGCAATTGTTACTAGAGATGGCCAGCAATTGTCTCAGACTAGTCCATTCTATTCAAGCACTTATCAACTAGTTACGATGCGATTCAAACGCGGAACACGACAGCGGCATGCGATGCAATGGCGGTCTGCCGTCGTTATTGACGCCTGGGAATTTTTATCATGGCCACCCGAGAGAGGAACTAGTCGCAAGTGACGCTGGCAATATTTACTTCTATTACGATGATTGTTACAACTACGATTAGAAGAGTGAAGACAAAAATCGCGCACAGAACACATACACTTTTAGCGTAGGAGTCATCGAAGTGGTCAAAGCCGTAGTAGCTATAGTATCCAACCGGGCGGCCGCTATTGCTTGTTCTAGGCTGATAGCAACGGTATAGTGTATCCTCCCTCTGTGTCGTTGTATGCCGTATTGATAATCACAATCTATGATTAATATTAATTAATGGGGAGCGAACGCGCGTGTTCGATGCCAGGCACACACTCAAGGTGATGAAGACCCACACACAGAAGGAAAGAGGACAGCCAAGCGACGATGAGCGCGTTCCCTGCAGCAGCTTCTTCGCTATGCGCGGTTCTCGGCCTGGTCGGATCTCGCTTACTGACTTGGCTTTCACTGCTGTTATGGCGCAAGTTGCTTTTTCCCACTCGACGTTAACCTAACGCTAAGCATGCGTTGACGTCACAACGCTGCCCACCATCTCCGTTGTATCCAACCTAGATCGAGAAAATCGAGAAGGAAACAAAATCATAAAAATATATTTGCACGAATGGGCAAACAGTGGAGAACGCGCACCTCCTCACTATTAGGTACACTCCACTATACTCCAGGGGTTAGTAGATATCCTTATTTGCTGCGGTATTCCTAGCGCGATGGGTGACAATCGAGTGATAGCAACGTTTTCACGGTGTCCCTTTAAGTCGGTACGATTTAGTTACGAACAACTAAACTGCACGTTGTATTTCATCATATTGATCAACTCTTTCATTCGGGCTTTTTCTATATTTCTAACTGTTGACCGTAAAGCAGCTAATAGATTCGCTTTTCCAGAATTCATTCGGCTTTCAGAAACAAAATTGGCGGGACGATACACGCTGTCTTGGCCTGGCCACAGAAAGCGATGCGGTCCCTTCGCCGGTCGGGCACGATCTGCCTGTTTGAGGCCCCAGCTCGCGCCGCCCTTTCCACTCTGGCGCGGATGATCCTCTCCACTTTCTGAGCATGGCCGACGCGCTACTGTGTTGCGCTACGGCTCTCGCACTGCTCGTCACTCCACCACAGCGGTAACGGCGTTCGCAATTCCCAGTTTCGTCTGGTCTCCTTCTCTCTCTTTGCCTTTCCCTCAATTTCTCTATTCTACCTACGTTTTCTCTCTCTTTCGCATTTCCAGTGTAGATTAGCAGCAGTAGCTTTACCGGCGGTACGGCCGCTTCCTTAAACGCTTATGATGCCTTGGTTTTCTCTGTCGCTTGCCATGGTGGCAATGGCAATGGGTAGACGGTATGGGATCGTTGCCTGGCAGACTCCTCTAGCAGCCGAGAGAGAATGCCTACAACGCAGCGAACCACTGCGGGGCTTCGGCAGAAGCTGCCTGGCCGGCTAGCTGACTGGTTCGTCGTGCCATTCGCGCGATGGACCGGACGCGATGATGGCTGTGCACGGTCCGCATAGTTCGCGCCAGACGCTGCTACGACTGGCGGCTACCCTTTCTCTCGACGAACCTGCGTTTGTGCAGCTGGCCAGCCGGGTGCCGGCTGGTCCTGACGGGGGAAGCGACAACAAGGTGGCGGCCGCAAAATGACTCGATGCCATCGAGCTCCTTTAGTGAGGAGGGCGATCAAAGCTCTTGTCTGAGCATCTCTTCCCCTCAAGCGCGCGCCGCAGTGAGTGTTTGTGTTTACTCGGAGAGCCACAAGGAGGCGCTGTGTGGGGCGGTATTAGGGGGAGCGAGATTGGGATGCCTAAGCGACGTCGCGGGTTTATGGGAAGGCAAGGGAGCAGACATCGGGTGAGCCAACCGTGAAGAAAGGGTCTAGGAAATATGGGGGCCAAATGGTAAATAGGTTACGACCGTATAGTTTAGGAGCGGGTGACGCAAGTTCTAGTGACTAGTAGACGCATAGTGTGTTCACGTTACGCTGTTGTTGGTTATACTAGGATAGGAAAGAAAGGGAAACGAAATGGGCTTCAGAAGTGTTAACGCGGGGGATGGACGCTCTTGGGGGCTGGGGAACAGTAGATAGTGACTGAAAGGCAAATGGGAAAAAAGTGACGGAGGCGTAGTGGCGATGAAAAAAGCAGCTTTTACAAACGCCTTCTCTAGCGCTGCAGACGGCGCCGCTCGCCTAGAGGCGCTTATACAAAACATTGGGCGCTACGGCATCTGCAAGCGGAGATGAATGAGGATGCTCAAGCAAAATATGATTATGCACTATCATAAATTAGTTCCCCAGAAATGCGATAGATCTAAAAAGCTTACAGTATTGATATAAATTATCTACTAAAGCTCATGCAGAAATTATCTTTTTCATTTAGTTGCGTTTTATACAGATTAAAATAATTGTCTGTTTTTGTAAAAAAAAAAAACCGAACTGGGACACCCTGAGGGTTACATAGCATGCATAGCAATTTTCAGAATTCAAAGTTTCTTGAACAGTATATATCTTCGTTCGTGTGGAGTATTGTTTTTTTGTACACAAAAGGACAACTATACAACTTGCATTACTTATTATTGAGCACAGTGCACAAAAACACACATCGACATACACCCTGATTCGAAAATATCGATTAAATAAACTGGTGATAAAAACTTTTGCTCGTACTTCATGTACACAAAGTAACAATTGGTTCCATAGGTTGGAGGTAGCGAATAGTGATACTAATTGAAGACTTCACTCGGGCTAGAAATCCATTTTCAGAAACGCTATATAGCATCATGAGATTAGCATAACGAAATTGATTTGGACCGAAGTTCATTAGAAAATAAGGCGTCGTGTACGATTTGTGCATGTTCCATCAATAGAACCGTTGTATTGCCATGCTAGCAGTGTTGAAACGCAGCTATTAAATACAAGTTCTTTTGTTTTTGCGTACAATATCCTTTCTAACGACGAGATGACATGTTCTTTTACGTATTTCTAGAGGCAACTAAGCCATATTAATATATGTATAGAGATACTGAAAATTGAATCGAAGCCTGTTGCACCTATGAAGGGAGCTACAGTGCGGACAAGCCATGGTCCTCATTAGACCTACAGCTATGTCTCTAAGTGTGTGCGTATCGTTAATTGCTACAGTCACCTATACTTCCTATAATAACTATGTAGACTACTTATTTCGCAATAGCTCTCCTTACTTTCAGATCGGTTGACTTCATTTCATCATGTGTTTTTCAATCAAATTTCATTGTTTTTCATGACTGTCACGCAACCCGATTCGACATAGTCCTTATATGCATATGGTTCAAAGAAAAGAAACTGTTTCTTTCAAATAATACGTGTCAAATCTATGCGTAAGAGCTGTTGACTACCAGCTGCTAATAGAATTAATTGCACCCACTTTTGAGCTAAAAGTCTGTTTTAGATATGTAATAGTGTGTTACTCAACGTGTATTACTGCATTTGCGACCCACTACGAACTGTGGCAGGTTTCAACAATGTTGAGTACCCCAGCGGCCCAGATCATCATTTGAACCTCTACTCGCTCCGTATTTGTATTCGGTTACACGATTGGACATAGATGTATAGGTAAAAGACAATAATTTACGACGATTTCGGAAGAAAGACAAAACTGACAGAATTCCAATGAGGTGACTGTTAACTACTTCGACAGAAGACGTGCTCGCCTTAAAACGCATTATAATATTAGAAAATGACGCATAATATCATACATCTTCGGCATCAATGTATATTGGGTTATGGCTGGCTTCTTCTTGTTCATTATCATATTTTTTTTTTTGTCCTTGAATTTGTCTTGCCCAAGCTACCGTTTCCATTCCAGTTTTGCAAGTATACTTTTTGCTTGGTCAACGGTATCAGTAATAATCATACCGACGCATACACGCGTTTGCAGTGGCGAGCGACTACGAACGAATGAAATGATGAAAAATGAGACTAAATCGGAGCGCGCGAGAGGCAAATAATACCCGAATCAAAAAGCGAAGCCCACTAGAAGAAACTTTTCGCGTAGGCCTGCAGCCACCGCTACGATCACCGATCATTTACAGTTTCAAGGTTCACTAGTGAAGCAGCTAATAGCTCATTCACTCGAGCATAGACTGAGTGGCAGGCAACGTGGGCCTTGAGTAATCGGTGAGGCAGTGGCCACAGGTCAAGAAAGTAGGCAGATTGCAGCGACGGCCTGACCCACTGATTTGAAGAGTTCTTCTTTATGTATCGTTCAGCATCGTCATCGCCGAACGCCATTTGCTGGCCTGACTGTTTCTGCTAGGAGTGTCGAGAAAGTGCATCCGTTATCGCTAAAGCGTCACATACCCAATTGTTCTGTAAATGGGCGGCCTTGCTATGGTAACCGCTGCAGTAACGGCGTCAGCAAACGAATGTTGAATCCTATCGAACACTGTGCAGCTTTTACGCACTCACTCGTACACTTGCACACAGCCAACTAAAAGGCTGAAACGGATAAAATAGAAAAGATTGACCTTAAGCTAAAATACGCGAACGTCTAAAGAATGCGATGGAAGCATCGCTGATGACCAAGTGGCAAAAATGCTGTTGATGTTAATACACTTCTATTTTGCTCTTCGTTTTGAGGCTGTTGTCATTGTCGTTATCGGGGGGCATCCGCGCTCGACATTTGGAGGTATCCGGTTGATTACATGCCACAGCCATTAGGATTGTTGCCATCCGTGCGCCAATCGATAATCGGAACTCGTTTTCCCAACTTTTCTACAAACAGTCACTATTGTTCATATTGCGAGGCGTGCCACAACATTGCTAGGTCGCGTTAGGCTCCTCTGGCTGGAGCGTGGCTGACGCTCAAACCAGCGTCGACGTCTGACCGCGATCAAGGACAATGGCCACACCCTTCAGAGAGAAAAGCCATTCAGCCATTGCACAGGTTTTCTCACTTTAGCTTGCATCGTAGTCATGGACCAGCCGTCGGTACTGTCAGTCTACTACGTATAACGGCACAGAGGCAATCGTGGGGTGTGTCCTACATTGGTCAGGCACAATTGCACATCGGTATATGTGGAACCCCTACTGACTATAATAACATATTACAAACACATACACACACATGTAACCCTGAAGACAGACAAACAAATACGCGCCCGTACACTTTTTCCTGGTACTCGTTGTTTCCATTCTTAGGAATGAGGCAGGCAACCCACTTTGACTGACCTAATTTAGCCTAACTGCCCCATAACTAGAAATATGTATAGTTAGCATCAGTTCTCTCTTAAGACGCGTGCTTCAAAAACAAGCCGTTTGACTTGCTTACCAGTTGCGAAATTCATGTTTGAGGAATCCGTCACCCGCTCTGGTTGACGATGCCCAATGAGCCCTACCTAGCTTCAGCAGCGATAAAAGGCAGCAGCAACACGAGTCAATCATAGCACGCCCTAACCATAATAGGAGTGACGAGAAGCACATACTTGCTGCAGTTCTTAGTAGCTGGTCTCTTCCTAAGGAAAAGATCATACTATCGTAGACATAAGCCTTAAAAATAGAACAAAACTCTGTTATAGTCGGTAAGGCAGGCCACGTCAGCGCAGATAGTGCAATATAATAGTAGTTGAAATCTATGTACTAGGAAAATTGGGCAATATGCATAACTTGGAAAATAAAATTGAATTAGCTATGAAAATGTTAATAAGCCGATACTAATTGTTCGCGTAAGGCATGTTTTTTTCACACGACCATTATAGGTCTTATAGAATTTGGTACAGCTTCGAACTGGTCGATTTGAAAGAAATACCTACATAAGGTCGAGCGGCATGCGCTGGTGGAAACCACAATCTGATCGCAATCCTATGCCAAATCTCTGCAGGAGTGTCCGTGCAACAAGCGGCTTACCTATTTTCAGGGTTAGGCAATTATTTTGGGTCGACCGAAGCCACTTGAGGCAGTGAATGAATTCAGGGAAGTGCTGAATAATGCACTTCGGGCACCAGTAGCCTTAGTGTCAAGTGGTGATTTCTCTGCCATATTTCACTAAGGCCAACAAATAAATCCATAGTTGTTGGATAACAAATAAATCCATAGTTTTGGATAAAATATTGCACTCTATAGTATTTCGAGTACCTATTTGACGGTAGTATAATAAACGAAAGTCATCAAACTGTACACAGCGGATTTCCGCAAGGACTGAAAATGATCACCAGTGAAGATCTCGAGTTTTTGACAACCGGCGAAGCTATGATCTCTGATTGTTGTACTTCAGAAGACATTTTAGTTCTAATTACAAGTGCGTTGTGGTAGCTTTACGATTCCATTGTCGATTTATAGCCAAGTTTATAGCCATTTTAATTCTGACGATACCGTAGTATGTACGCGATAAGATTCGTTTAGTTGTGGTTCAAGTGTTTCTAGCACTGCTATGTTCTTATTTGCACTTTCGAAATACACGTTATCTCTGCCTCGAGACTTTCCGGACTATTTCGAAAGTTTGACGCCGAAATTAAGTTTAATGTCTAATCTAATTGCCAACAAGCACCCAGATTCAAACAATGTTAGCAGTTTGAAGGTTGCCAATCTTGCGGCCGGGTACTTCTCACATTATAGAGGTGTCTCTTGTGAGGCATCGTTTCCTTATATTATAAAAATAATCATACGATCATTCTATGCAACTATCTCAGGTGACCATTCAAATCGATATAAAATATACTTATGGAATGATAAACAGAGCTATAAAAAGAACCTACACATGATGCAAAAGTGAAACGTAATCTTATTAAGGTGACACACATTGTCGATTGAACGATACATATCGATGGCAATGCCTTTTCGAAAAACCCTATTGCAGCCTAGACAGTTTGAGCATCGAATGTTTGAGCTTCGAATCGATAACTTCGAATGAAAGCCCTGTTCACTTAATTGCCCATGCTGGATATTGTCATTGTTTCGGATCACGCGCATAGAAACAAACTTTTGTAGCTCGTAAGAACATATAAGACTCGTAAATATAAAAAATACAAATAACAGATATAAATTCTGTCATGTATATTATGGTGCCACCCATATGGTGCATCTAATGAGTTGATTCCGGGGATTTGCTTTTGGCCATCAGTTAACCTGACAATTGGCGTATACGTCAAAACGACTCAGGGCTTATTTAAGCCTGTAAAGTAAAACCAAGCCCACGCTTATGGTAACGTACCAAGTATATTGAAAAATGAAACAATAATAAACGACTAAAAACCTAACTTTATCGGTTCCGTAAATCACATTATCTAGCAGTGCGTAAAGCAAACTTAAGGTTTGGGTAGATAAAATCATTTATTGGTTTGTTAGTCATGTTTTGGAAAAAGGTCTAGTACGGCAACTCGTAGTACAACCTTTTTTGCCTTCAATTATGCTCGGGATACCGCAGGGCATTACTTATTCATGGGCAATGCAGGACTCGGAACATTTTGAACTTACCTACAACGTTTCAGTTCTGTTAAGCTGCTTCAACTTGTTTCAGGGAAGTACTTACTCTTCGTATTGCGGATAATTAAATGCTAACATTTCGCGAAATCCTAAACTTTCTCGGATAACATCTAATATATCGTATTATTAACGAATATAGGCGTTAGAAGTAACGATTTATCTCACTGGGATTAAAAGGAGTAGAGTTCTTCACTTTTTGATAGACAACAGAATTTTGTTCGTCGTGCGCAGTCGAATTGATACTTTTCAGTATGACAAAAAGTCTATATTCACTTTGCCCCGCTAGCTGTGTACGCGTAGATATAGAACGATAGCAAAAACAACTTATGTACACCCTGGGAAACTACATTATCATAGCTGGTGAGTAAGCTTGTGTGCATATGCGTTGTTGGACACGTCATCACAGCCCAACGACCCACAGACGGAGCGATGTGGGCGCACGTCACCGACAGCCACCTGTAAGACGATGACAAACCCGATATGATGCCTCTACATACAATTGTGACTCAAAGTAAGCGGCGGTTTACTGCAGTGCAGCTGGCACTGCCTTCTTCAGACGGGCCAATACACGAAACACAACTAATGGATAAAATTATCTTGTTGCAGTTCTGCGTTGCAGGTGGTGACGCCTTTCACCACTAGGGAAGCTTCGTCGAAGTCGATTCCACGCCGCGCGATAACTGCGACCTTTTTCGTGATAACGACGACGACGACGACGACGACGACGACGACGACGACGACGACGACGACGACGACGACGACGACGACGACGACGATGAAGGTGAGCAAGCCAAACGATGCTACAATTGTTGTCCCTAACGGCCGGCTTTGTTATGATCGAGAGGGCAGAAATAGCGGTACGTGCGTAATCTAAAGATAAGTTACAATTTTCCAAACGTAGTTCGTTGCCAGCCACCGGCCTCTATGCGAACAACAGAGTGGAATACGCCAAGAAGAGCTAATTGGTTGTTAATTGAACACCGTGGTCATAATGTTTAAGATACTAGCAGCAATGTTTAATTCCATGAAGCTGTTATTGCACCGGTTAAACTATGGGAATGGCTTGTAAATTGGACAACAACGGATACTATGTTCAGGGACACGCGAAATGGCTTAGGTTCGATGCTAGTACATTTTTTTTTTCGTTCTGGAACGAGACAGCGGTGTTTAATTAAGGCAGCGCGGTGTTTAATTAAGGCAGCAGTAGACGTCGTCACGTATTTAGACTAGTGTGCGGTAAATATGGCCCATTGAAGTTGTCAATGATGGCTCTTATAGAAAGCATCTCTTTATTATTCATTAAAAGCAAAACTACTTTCATTTCCGTTTCCTGTAGTTTTATATATATATATATATATATATGTATGAGTTGCGATGTCAAACTGTTAGTACTGTTAGTAAATAAATATGTAATTAGCAATTGACGTTATGAAACGTGTTCTAAAGTTTATTCTAATTACTAAACAGATTACATACTATGAAGTCCATCCAATGCTCATTGATGACAGTACCCGTTGAGAAATAAAGGAACAGAGAAGAGCTAATGGATGGACTGAGATTGGATCGTAACATTTCAACATCACACTGTGATGTTATAGTGATATTATAGCTATCTACTTGACACGATAACTTACTTTTTTTTTTCTCTTTTGACGTATTTCTTATTAAGAGCTGTTCGGACTATTGACAATATAGAGCTATCGAAAAAGCTAATCTGATACGATTACACATAAATAAAATGCAATCACTCTAATAAATAGATTAGAAAAATTATCGCTTTCTACGTGCAGGCTCGAACACAGGCATTTTGAGGGTGCTACAATAAAACGACTATCCTTACAAAGGCCAGTTGAACGGTTAAATTAAAGTTAAGTGAATGTTTTTTTTTTTTTTTTTTGGCATTACAATGTCGCACTATGAACTATTACGTTGGTGCGGCCAGTGCTCGGGGTAGCGATAATATTTCCGAACAGCAAAGATTCCTCTGGGATCATCGTGCATTCATAGTAAACTTAATTTTGTTAATTAAAGTAATTTAGAGTGCGCTAAACATTGTGCTTTCCAGTATGTGCTTTGGGCAGCTCTGCAACTATGGCGCTTACACGAATAAAAACTTCAAGTTATTATTCACCCATCACAGAAACGTTTCGATTTATTTTTTTTCTAAGGTATTCCGAGATCGTCTTTCATGGCCAACGCATCGTATCAATTCAGCATCGGCATCATAGCGCGCAGTTCGGGCCTTTCCATTGAGGATGCAAAATGAAATCAGATTGGTCATCTAACCCTTTTGGCTAGCACGTAGAAAACGTTATCCTTGTTTCTACCTAACGCTACTTGTTCAGGGACTAAATACAGAAATTCGATTCGGTGCACCAATGGCGTTCGACTACACGAAAATAGTATAGAACCTGCCCAGTTCGTTATGTTTCAACTGGCAGCGACCACTACGCTTAGTGTCTACTGTATGTAGAGTTCAGCCTGTAGGAATACTAGCGCTAGCTATAAATGAGATCAGTCCCCAGCCTATCTGTGATATCGGTGGCATGCGAGACGATAGTGTTCTATTTTTGTGTTAGCTTGTAACTCGATTATATAACTGACGAATTCGATCAGTGTACACCTTTATCACGCACAGGATTGTTAACTTCGACGTTGAGGCATGAGGTCCGCATTAAATGCTACGCCGAACATTCGTTCATGTATATTCGTATTGGTCTTATTGGAACCGCGCCGTTGACGTCGACACGGAGACATCGTGCATTGAACCTTCACGCATGTAACGATCATGTCCCATGCAGGAGAATTGTGCCAACTAGACATCACGTCTTCAGTTTAATTAACTGATAGTATAAAGATGTCCGGTTACTCACTTTATTTGGGCTTGAAGTTGACATGAAATATACATTCGTTTAGCAGGAGCCACTTTTGCCAATGATCTCTCTCGAGTAAGTAAAGCTAATTTATATATTTTTCGCCTATTATAATATTAATTTATATATAGTGGGGTATTGTTTTATAGAAGTACCATGAATGCCTTTTTTGTTTCACCATGTTAGTTAGTAGTACTTATTTGATGTTTAGCACTAGTGCACTTGAGCTAGCTGCAGTATCTGGGCGATTTCCATTTTGGATGCTAGATAAATTAGAATAAATCTGATTTTGTCACGATCTGTTGTGGTCATTTCAAGAATTGCCTAACCTACTACCAGGACATTAGAACGAACCTTATCGCAGAACGTGTGTTATCGATCGGAACGAATAGGGTACGTTATATGACGGCAAACTTGCTCACACACAAAAGCCTTGCAATACATAAACGTAGAAGCATTTAGTTCTAGTAAGTTTTTGTCTGGAGTGAGGCTGAGCCTCATCATTATGTCATATTTCTACTCTTACTCGTTCTTTCTCGTTGTTATTTTTAATAGATTACATTATTAATATGCTCTAGCTAAACACTCGAGAGTGCTGTCGATTTCGGATCGGCAGCACTCTCCGGTGTTTATACTAGATCGTTTTTTCTAGATTTCACTATTATGTAGCAAAAAAAAGATAATGTAATTATTTTTAAGGAAAGGTTAATTCAAGCGTTCACGGTTCGCGGTGAAGTTTTGTTTGCTAATTACACCATTCCTTAACATGGCTACGATTAAGTTAATAACTTCCAAGTTGACATGTACTCATTTCTATGCTCTATACATTATATACGTACACATTACTATAAAGCAAGACATAGTTTTCAATGAATGAAATGCTAGCTTTCTGCCGTGCATATTCAAACATGTTTCCCTCATCTTTTTTTTACAATGTTCTATGTACACTCGACTGAAAGGTAATTAGCGCCAATGTGTTTTTACCATTGCTCACCCTTGTCGCGTTACGTGTCACTTCGTAGATGTAGGTGCTTCCTGTGAAATCTCGGCCAACGGTCACATCTAGGTATTGAGTCGTTTCCGTTATCGCACCTCAGTGGGGAGAAAGATGAACCACGAGCTCAATCTTCGATTAGAAATACTGCTTCGCCCTATTACAGAAATCAATTGCGGCCCATAAATATCCATTGGCTGTCTTAGCTGCTATAAAGCAATTTATAATGTAATCCTCTGCAGCCTCTTTTGTGGGCTCTTATTACGACTGCTATATCATTTGTTTATATGATGGTTTTTATAATTCGTAAATCCAAAAGCCCGAACAATCAATTATGCGGTTAAATAGCGACATGTCTTCACGGGCAATTTGGCCGTCATGGGAAATATTCTCGTTCGGTTAACCCTATTGGGCCATTACCGACGTAGGAAGTGGCCAGCTACCATAAACGCGGCAAGACCTTTATAATTTTCTATTTAATCACCGGAATACTTCGGTGGACTTTATGCACTGCGTACGTTCAGAAAGATAGCAACGCGCACTTTTTTAAACCGCTGGCTGCTACATTTCGTCAGGTCACTTTCATGAAATCAGTCGACGAAGCTACTGCTTCCAGGCTAGCGTTTTTTTTATAGTGTTACCAGTTAATTGTTCTCTCTAAACAAGTCTCAGAATTACCCTTTTTTTTTGGTATAGCATCAAGGATTTGTTCCGTTTAGGAATACAACCGGAGTGGGTGTTACTGGGCTTTTTCAACACATCGATGAGAGTCCATGACAATTATACAAGCAGCTATTAACCTTAGTAATTTTACTTGCCTTAATCTCTCATTTTCCTGATTGTTATTTAATATTTTTCCAATGGCAAGATTTGAACCAGATCGCAGCATATCTTGTTAGTTATGTTTACCGTAACGACACACTCAAAGAGATGTGCATTAGCCAGCCGGATCACACCATTCTCTAACATTAAGTTAATCTACTGCCTTTCGACATCCTGTAAGGCTCTGTTTATGGCCACGTCAATAGACTTGTCTTCACGGAGTTCGGCACTTTGACTCTGTTTGCTTTATGGTCCTAAAAGAATCGCGTCGTGTGTTACCCCGTCAGCAATTTCCTATGTGGGTGGCTTCTGCCTCTAATTACTCGTTTCCAGTGATTCCGCATAATGGTCTACGAATAGCAAAGTCCATGAGCTTATAATGCTATTGATGTTAACAAGTTAAATCTTTCCTGTAAATTCCCCACTAATCTATCGCTTGTATAAGAAACGTCACCTAAAGGATGTTTATACGCGGCAGTCTCAACCTTGCGTTGGAAATGAGCGTCCTTGACGTCCTTGATCTTCCCAGTGCTCTACTTATTAAATAACTGTGAAATAATAAAAAAAAAAACATTGTCTTCACATGAGTGGATATTATGTTAGACAGAGGCAACCATTGCTGCATCAAAAATGTACTTAAAACTAATAAACATAAAAAATATACATAAAAGGAGTGTTTGACTTGATGTGAAACTTGGATTTAAATAGGACATTTGTTTAAAGCAGAACGTTCATATCCAACGAAGAGATAGCTAGGATAGGTTAACAGCTTCTGGTAAATAGTACTAAATCCTATTCGTCGGAGTATACACGGATGATTATCTCTAGAGTTTACAATATCTAATACTATGATATCTTACTAATTTTCTTTCTAAACCAATAAGGTAATAAACATGTTTCTACAAAACAACCGAGATAGTTGGTAACGATTGGTATTAGTGTCAGCGTCTTTAGTACAAGTATTGCCAAACAGTATTACGGCTGGCGCTCCCTCCAATAACCTCCTAGCTATACATACATACTAATAAGACAGAATATATTTTCACGCACTGTTACTGACAAAGTTACTTGTGAAAGCAATTTGTTTTATTGCTTATCGGTCTCAGTTGTGTAAATTTCCAATATCATTTTCGTAGAAACATCTGAACTTGTGAAAACCTTCCCTTCTATAAACGTGGTAAACTGCAGTGATGACGGGACAGAAGCATCGCAGTGAAATTTTTCACGCTAACAGTGACCTCTGTTTAGGTAAGTGTTTTTTTTACACCTCTCAGCATATATCAGCTGGTAGGGAGTCGTCGGCATCTGCGGCCATTCACACTCTCAGGTTTGGTGATTACTGAACCTATTTATTTAAGTATTCATTTTGCCCATTAGGTGCTTTCTACACAGCAGCCCCGGCATCGTCTCGCTTTCCTTGTCAACGTAAGTTTTTGTGCAATCTTAAGTTGTTAAGTTTGGATAATACAATCACTCAGAAGACAATAGCAGCGAATTGCTATTTTCTGTTACTCTGATCAGTTTTTTTTTTGTTTTTATGTAAATAAGTAATAGCATAATGATACTGAAAGTAATAACATATTAATGATATAACTTTAAACATGTTTGCGTAGCTGCAATTATGAAGGTACCGATCTCTGTAGCCGGTGGTATTCTGTGATCTGCCTGAAGACATTTTTTTTTATGTGTGAACTGATGTTACGTTCAAAGTACTCGATCCGAATCGCTTTAATCGTAGGCATGCAGCCCTGTTTCCCTCAACAGCAGTTGCAGTGTTATTTGTCAATAACCGTACTATATACCCGGGCCAATCATTGAACGGCCTTGGCAAGAATCACTAGTAGATTGAAGGATTCTTCTTGGCAACTTGAGATAGTACAAATAACGGTTAAAATTGAAGAGAAATTTGCTAAGGTAATAGATATAACGTTGGTACAACAAGGTTTCCGAGGGAGGAATTTTTTTTCTATAAGTATCCCTTCTAGTCCATGTTTGATGCGCGTAACACTGACAGCCTCTAGCATTGATTCTAATGCATCGACAAAGTGTTAACAGAAAATCTTCAATCAACTATAAACGCACTTGTCTCATATGTAAACACTAGCCAATAATCATACAGAAACGCTGGTATGTATAATTATAGTACGACAACAAATCCATAGTTAAATAATTAAACTATGAATATATTCATATTAGGTGCTTGTTCAGACAGATAAAAACAGAACTGAAGCCTATTGCTCTTATCGGAGCTCTTCTAAAATGATGTCTGCTCGAACGAGTTTTTGCATTTTCTGTTCTCGTGCCCAGACGGATGGACGCCATCCGCTTAATGACAACATCTGCTTAATGGTGCTAGTCTCTAACTAGCGAAACGTCACAGGAGCTAAAGAAATTGATCGAGTAAATAACTCAACGCTGATTCATACCGTCCGTATCACTGTCGTCACCTTTTCCTCTACACATTTACACCGACATGCACACGTACACACTCTCACAGCTTGTGATCGGAGGTGACGCCGCTCCCGTCGCTGCAGTGACAGCCTATGCCGTTAGCGCTTTTTTACAATCTAGTTGTCGTCGGGCTAGCTAAACGTGACGTCACCGCAATCAAATACCTAGTCCTACAGTGAAAGGTGGCACTTCATCATAGAGACGCAGGTGATACTGGACTTCGTCTGCTCACTCGATGGCGGAGACATAGTGTGGACGTAACGTGGGCGCCAACGTAGCACCGACACCCATTGAGAGTCAACAACAATCATAATAATAATAGTAGAACTGGGATAGAGCAAAGCCGACAACCGCGGCAACGAGGGCTTGCCATATAAACGTTAATAGAAACAGAAATCTCTATATTTTACTGGTCTAAGATATGGATCGTGTACCGATGGCGTTCAGCCAGCGCCATCTCTAGACTTTGTCAAACTAAGATAAATGACAATCAGAATAGATACAATAATCTGAAGCTGGTCTCTAAAATAATATGGTATTTTGACTTTCAACAGCAAACAAAGTGGTTTACCATTTAGCGATGCTCTGTTAGTACTTCACTATCACTTCATCGTCGAGATCACTCGATTTGGTTGTTGCTGTTCACGTTTTTTAGTGATTTTGATTCAAGATTCTAGAACCGAGACCATAGAAAAGGGCAGCATCACGAAAAAAGAAGTTTCTTGGCACATCCTTAATGAGTGGGTGGTCAAAGGAATTACTATTATTATGATTAAAATGAAGGAAGAATGTTCCAATTTTGACCTTTTTTTTTCAGGTGGCTGTAATAGAACGACAGTTGTATTGATCCTAGCGACTGACAATGGTACGGAATTATTTTCTAGGATCCACCTATTAAAATGCTGAAAGTTAGTAAAAATATTTCGCTTTTAATGAAAATAGAGTGAAATGGAATTGACTTTTTAAGAGTGATCGCAGGACCACGCGCGTCTTCTTCTAAAGAGAAACGAAAAAGTTGCCTGTATAATACAAAAAATAGAAGTGATAACATAAAAAGAATAAATTCTTAAGTGCAGAAAATGAAAAGAAACAAGTAGATCCTTTCAATATCCAAGTATTACTCAATTTTTCTTTGTTGTTTTGCTGTAGAATCTGCTTCGCTCGACCTTGTTGAGCCAAAGGGGGGAAAACAGAAACGAGAAACGCAATAATCGACGCGAGAAATCTTATTTTAGGGTGCAATCTCTGTCCCACGACCATTAGCCAACTGTACTAAAAATATTAGTAGTTACCTTGTTTTATACATTTCCAGCAAATACTTCATCGTTTTCACGAGTTCATAAAAAACTTGATGGTTAACATCGATGTATATGTGTATAGATGACATAAGAGCCACCATTCCGGTCTCTATTTTGCGCAGAATTTTTTATGTAACTGTCCTTCATGTAAATGTAAACCAAGCGAAAAGCAGTAATGGATTATAGATATATGCAATTTTCGTAGTACGTCCGTATGCTGCAGTCGCCGAATGATATAATCAGTTGCCGTTCTACGTTTTCCAGTCATCCTATGAAGCTTCACTGCTCTATTGCAGGGATATATTAGTGTCTGTTAAGTGTCCAAGAGAATCGCAGATGACCACCATGTAGAAGGTAAAGTATCCACCTTACCGCACGCAGACTGATCGAAAGCCTCAGCTGTTGTAAGATTCTAGCTCCTTCACGCCAGGAGAGTCTTTTCGTAATGAGGAAAGTCTCACCCGTTCAGTTACATCCCCCCAGTGATTTGAGCGTTTGTGAGTATCGTAAAAGATGATTTTCTTTTACAAATCACAATATAAGGCAACAATGTGACGCTGTCGTACCGTGAGAGTAACGTGAATCATGCGTTTTTATTATTCTGTTTCTAAGCCTAACCCAGATCATGCAGCGTCGATTTGCTCTTTTACTATACTATTTTAATCCGATCGAAATAAAGAAGTTTCGTAGTTGTGCGTATACTAAACTTGAGTGCTGACTTCCGTCAAACTTCACAGTAATTGGTTTTCATCAAAGCTTTTAACTTTCCGTTATCCATTCTTACAATGGTTTTTTCATGGAACTGATATTTGAAAACGACGCAAGTTCTGTGATTATGGCTCATTGTAATTCGCTTGGTGAAAGCCTGGCTAAAACACCTGAAGTGAATGGCCTCCGATTCCAAATACGACAAATGCATATCGAAAACAAAAAAGCAAAAAAAAAAAAAAAAAAGAGTTACAAAATGTCGAACTCTTGCAAAACTATTCTTTTTTGAAATATGAGATCAACACTTCTTGTATTTTATAATGAAAGACCGAATATATAAAGTGACAGTATTGAACGTAAAAAGGAATAACGGAAAATCAAATGTATTTCCTCGTATAGTATAGATCAAAGCGGCCCACGGAAACGACCCCACCTTATCGCACACTCAAGACCCAGGTGCAAATATTCAAATGCATCTGTGAATGATGCCTATGTGAACCGTCCAATATGCTTGTGTGTATAAGCCAGCCTTACCCGAATTATTTTATCCCATTACCAATATGACGTGCGATCTCCGTACTATCTGTACACTATACCATAGTGAATACGAACTTCAACGCTAGTCGCGCATTTAGTTTTTTTCCATTCCTGCTCCGTGCAGTGGTTATACGCATGTCTATGTGGCACGCGGCCTACAATGTCCTACACTATACCAGACCTTCGTTGCGTTTCTCTGCTATTTTCGCCTTCGGTACCAGCTCGTCATTCGTTCAGCTGGCGTATCTTTTTTCCTTGCTCATGGTTTCCACTCATTCGAAGCTGCGTCTTCTATTTCGTACTCTAGCGCTGTGTTGAGCGCTCTCGGTTCTTTTTATTTTGAATTTTCCTTCCTTTGCTGTCCTTGCCGTATCCTCCTTGAAGCGATCATTTGTCATCGTCGGCAGAGTCGGCGACTTTTGACCTTTCCTTTTACTTGTGTTTTTCTTTTTTGGCCTCTTCCCCGCCTTTGTCACCTGTCCTTATCCCCAAGACCGCTTCACGTATGGTACTCGTTCTCTGTTCAATTTTTTTTCCTCATGACCATCGCCTTTTGCGGACGGAACTCTCCCCGACGCCTCTCAGGCCGAGTGAAAGCAACTGCCACATGTTTTAGAGTGGAGAGCTTTTGTAAAATATGGCATTCCACGAATGACTTTATCTGTTCTTTTTTTTTTCTGCCTCACATTATTTCCTGATCCCCTAGTCTCTTCTTGCGCGTACAACGTCACTTTGTGCCGGGCACATCACAATGTCAACCGGTTGGGCAGCGTAAGCGACGCTACACGATATCGCACACTGAAAGCTGTTCGGCCAGGACTTCAGCTTCGCAACCAGCCGCAAAATGCAGGAATAATAGTAATAATAAGAGCGGCAAAGGAGCACAAAAATTACGAAACAAGGCTTTTAACGCGGGGGCCAGCTCACTCGAATACCAGCCGAGTAGGAACTGAATAAAATGGAATAGCTCTACTTGCTATCGCATTGCCTTCACTTCCTTTTTTATTCCGTTTTTTTTTTTTTTTTGTCGAAATATGAAAATATTATTCTATTTCTGCCAAGTATCTACGGTTACTATTATAAGCGCATACTTAGCCGGCGTCTTTTTAACAACACATACCTACGCAGATATGAGTCATCCAAAGTGAGCGCAGGAAAATAACCGAAAGCTATCCACTATTGTGCCTAGCTTTCCCTCACACGTGTATTCTAATAAAGCAGCAGCAATGGTGAAGATGTCTGCGAAGCCTGAAAAAAAGGGCATGCTAAAAGCTGGCTTTTGGGCTGCGGTTATTGTCCGCGTCAATTCATTACTGCCATTAGTTTGTTCTGTTCGGACAGAAGCAGCAGTTAGAAGACTTTAGGAAAAAACGATGCAACGGGCCGCAACGAAGAATGGAAGTAGGCGCAAGAGGAATGTTTTTCAGCGAAAATAGTGACCTCAGCCCGGGTTTGAAGTTCCTTGGGTTCTTGTGAGTGGCTTGCACGCATGCTCTTCCTCGTGAGGAATGTGACAATGTGCTTCTGAGCTGAAGTCGGTCGATCTATCGCGAGAGAATGCAACTCGGAAATTATATTTCAGCTCACCCAATTCGATATCGAAAAGCCATCGTCATTCGCATCCTGACGAAGAAGAGAGACGCGTACGAGAGCTTTGACTATGCAGAATAGAGTTAAGGTAATGATTTAAAATGATTTTCGACAAAAAATGATTGTGATAAAAAGTTGTGGACATCTGATGAGCAATTACGAGATTCTCATAAGCCTCATTACAACTAGCCAAGAATTGAGTACATAGAAAACGAGATTTGCTCCGATCTTCCAGCTAGACAATCGCTTAGGTATTTTAGATTCTTGCATTCTCCGTGGAGCATCTTCAAAGGAAATACCGGTAATACGGATACTCGCATAGGCAACTCAGATCTATGCAGTCTATTTTAATAGCGCTAAATTAGGCCATCAATCGCCACACTTTGGGAAACTAGGCGCCTGTACAAATGCCAGTACTGCCGCTGATTATTAAGATATAAGCAGCTAAATAAAACGGTCTGCGATAATAATTCGTATCTACTATGCTATGCAAATAAATATCTTTGAGAATTTACGTAGAACTACAAGCACTGGATTCAAAAGAAAACAAAGGTGATCCGTTGCTCGAGTAATATATAGTACCGTTTAATTAGTGTCAAGCACACGTATAAGGTAGGAAATCGAAGTTCTAAATTCTGTTGTTCAAGCATTAATTCAAGTGACGGAATCGGAACACTTACCTTCAATAGAAGATTTCTCCAAAAATGTCTTCCTTTCACCACACATGTTGGATAACCTGATATATTACATAATTTGTTTTTGAGGGGTTAGTCTTTTACACGTATATCAACTATTGACGAACAGTTTTTTTTTTTTAAACAGACAATTTATGCTAATGACTACAAGACGCGATTTGGGGGGTTACTATACTAAAATTAATTTCTCTTATCGCGAGCACCATGCAATCCAATCCAGCTACTATCATGTGTACCTTGAAATGCGAAAAATACAATACATTTAATTACTGATGTAAACCGAATTGTGTGGCGTCACTCCACAGCACTGAAATAGACAGTCTAAATACGCGATTAATGTATTTTCCCATTTTTGATCATTAGCCTTCTTTCTGTCTGTGCAAGAAAGTCTTTGTGAATCGTACAGTCGAAAAGTTAGTTTCTGACAATTAAAGTTCGCTGCTGTTTTTTCCCTGCCCTCCTGTCTCTGTTTTTCACTGGATATGTTTTTTAGCTTTGTTGAATCGATCTTCGATGCAGTAGCGTCCCACCTCTGGGTAGACGTTTACTCCTTGTGTCTGCCTTTAGTCGTTGTCATCTCCATTGACGTTTTTTAGCAACGACTGTACAACTGCATTGATATCAGAATGACCGATGCCAGTACACACCACAGTACTGCTACCCAGTCAGCATTCTGAAATCATGTTTCGCTTTTTTCTCCTTTTATCGCTATCGGTTATCCAGTGCAACAAAAAGGAAACGCAACGCTGTGCTGGTAAGAGTAGTACTAGTAGCAGTAACTGAAACACAGACCGCAGTGACCAGGCAGGTAAATAAGATGAAGCAAAATCGACCCGCCGAAACGGTCCATCGCCAGAATCAACCCTATCGAGCTAACCTTTCACAGAAGAAAACGGAAAAACTCTCCGTCTCTTTCTCTTTCTATAGAATTGCGCGTTTTTTAAGTCGACTCGTTGCTTTCGGTGATTGGTGCTTTGTCTTCGAATCTACCGCTTCGTTGTTACCCCCGTTACTGAAGACTTCGCCACTTGCCAGTGTCTTCGTCGAAGGAAGCTGCCGCTTTTCATTGTTTGGCGGCATTAGGAGGACGCCAAAGTTGTTGCGGTGATTGTACGCTAAGAAAATTGGCATGTGAAGCAGCAACGACAGCTCGCGTTCTGGAGAGGTAAAAAAAAAACAAAAACATTTGAGTCAGGCAGACACACAGACAAGCAGGCAGACAGACGAGGCGGGCAAGCGAAAATCAGCCGATAAGTACAAAGCGAAAGACGACTCAAACGACGGTTATTTCAATGGTACACCAAGATAATAAGCGATTGGCAGTAAGTGTGGTGGTGACAAGATTGATACCACATATTTGCAGTCGTATGTTGGTAAGACCACCTCAGTGAGCAATAAGTCGCAAAAAACAGAAGAGGTTCTAGAACAACAGGATTAATAAGGCAAGATGTTTTTTAAGGCATCTAAGTGAATGTATAATATTTGCCATGGCAATATTTTCAATATTAGGCTAGCAAAACGCCTGTTGTCAGGCGCTACAAAACAAACGAATGAACACAAATAAGTTTTGCTTGGGCGAAGACTTTTTTGTGCTTACTTCATTGCTCGCAGAAATCAATCAAACTTTCCTCTGTCATTACAAATTAATTGTCGGTAATAGTAGCTTACAAACCTTTCAGTTGTAGCGAAGCTGTTAGCCACTTGTCAAGGAACTCTTCGGCTTCGGTTCTTGAAGCTCCTAGCGGATTAAAACCGCGAGTCAGACAGCATCTCGCAATATCATCATCGCTCAGAGATTCTAGGGGACCTTCTCTAACTAGTGCGCGATCTATCTCCCAAACAAAGCCACCAAACCTCCACAATTTTCCGTACGGCATAAAACTTCCATAGCGAAGACCTTGCGATAAACTTAGGGCACGCTGGAACAGAAAATGTCACGTAATTGGGAAATTGTTCAGCGCATTTACCCCTTCCATTATATGATGGAAGTTTTTAAACGAGGCTTAGTCAGAAACTTTGCTTAGTCGAACTGGAAATTGCCTAAACTCACCTTAATAAATGCAAACCTACAATGCCTGACGGCTCTCTAGCTGACTGACCACTAGATAACGGAGCATTGCATGCCCCCTTCGACGAGCCCAAAAACAAATCGATCTTCCGAAATATTATACGCTCTTTTGCTAGATAGTTCTAGCTTGGGCAACTGTAGGGTACACATTGTGCTATGCAAAAATATGTAGAAGATAAGCAACATGGTTATGGCCTGTTGTACCATCGTCGCAGCGTACGACTACAGTGGCATGCAGTGGTGATTGTAGATCCACGCGCAAAAAGCGCTAGATACTATAGCACTGGTAATTATTAATTACATATCGATATTGGGTTACGGTAACAATCATTCGACATAACGAATTAAACAGACAAAAACTGTATACGATACTGATGATCGTCGTTAGACTATTACTAATGTCTAACCATTGTAAAAACAGAAGACTCTAACAGAAACTGTGGCAGTCTTCACTGCAGTTACAATAGTCTCATCGCAGTTACTAGCTATAGTGGTTGCTGTTATTGCGACTAACCGAAGATTATTTTGCAATAATCTGCAGTAGCAAATAATAAACATTTTACAATAGTAGAAAATTATAATAATATACGATAGAACTACATAATAATAGCAACGAAAAACGAATGCGCTCTAAAAAGTCACTTGCTTCCCTAACAGCTGTTTTTAATTATAATAAATACCAATCTATCGGAAATGAAGATGAAGCGATTCAGTAGTTAGCTAACTCTGAGACGCGACAGAATGAATGAATCTCAGAAGTCGCAAAAGGACATCACATTCGTTTCATTGAGCTTGATTGTTGGTTGACAGTATCACACTTTGCTTGGCAGGTTAGGGTAGATAAACGACCTAGGCCGTATATGCGTCATTGTTATGCATACGTCGTATTGCGTATGGCGCAACCTTACACACCCAAGGTGGAACGCGTACGATGCACCTATATATAAATATTAACACAGACATGCTGCAGAGCCTACTGACACCACGGTAATAGATGTTTATAAACCTAACCTAACCTAACCTAAATTTCACCCTTGCTAGCGATGGCGGCGGCTAAGACGAGTGAAAAACAAATGAGACGAAATGAGTTAATACAGTGGTACCACGTTACGTGATTACATCCAATAATGTTGTTCAAAGGGACATTGTCGACGTGGTTGAAATCTGCGCACAAACAGGTACGCGTTAGTTCACTTGGACATCAAGTAGTGGCAGCGAGAACCATTGAGCCGCCGCTGTCGATTTTGCCGTCTACTTCGTCTGTTGCGAGAATGAGATCAGCAGCGACCTTGAATCATTTTTAATCGTCTGCTCACACAAATACAATTTTCATATCGATAAATCAACTTGTGCTGTTGAAATAGTCTGATTAATAGTAATTAATTAACAACTAGCATGCGCGTGAACCAAACAATTCCCGATGGAAAACAACTAAATTATATACATATATATATATCCGCTTCTAGCGGCCCATATACGACAACTGGGAAGTATAGGCTGTATAGGCTCATAAACCCTGATGATATGAGGCATCGGTGTACACGTAAATGACCGCAGTAGTCGAAAAGTCCGTTGTGGGATTGACGGCGCGCAGATGGCGCCATCGATTTTATAAATAGGCCGTGTTTCAAAAGAAAAGCGACAGAACAGGCATTTGATTAAGAACCAGCAGTAGATAATTATTTTCTCTATTCACTGTTTGTTCTATCCAGATATATCTACAGCAATGTAATAGTAGAAACATGTCACACAGACTCGCGTACGACGGAAAGCCGCAAAATGGCCAGAGAAATTTAATATCGAAAGTCTACATTCGTTTTAAATAAACTTATATAATTTAATTGTGTCTGCGTGTGCCATATTACATATGTTCAATTAATAAAATATACCGTATGCATAGAAGAAATCGTATTAAAGCTTTAGTTTTTCCTGCAACGTTTTCAGGAAACATCGGGTCGGACCATACTCACTGCAGCTTGTTGGAGCCCATAGTTTTACTGAGGCGGCCAAGCGGTATATTGCTTGATGACGCCTTATGAGACAATCGAATAACGAATAACTTATACTAGTAGTTGGAAGGCCCATCCTTCAGAACACTGATTTACTAAAGTAAGGAGCTGTACTAAAAATATGGTATCTATTAAGTTCAAATATGATGATGTCTGCTATCGCTTCACAAGGACTTACAATAGCTACCAACTACAGTAGGTTGGAAGTTCTTACAATATTCTGTTTTTAGGAGTGTATTATTATACTTTTCTATATATACATATAGTATATATTCAGTATATAAGTGATATAAACAACAGCCTGTCACCTATGTGATTCGTACCAGGTGTCCATAGGGGATGTTATGAAGAGCTAGGCTATGTCCATCTTGAAACAGCGGTTTGATTTCGAGAATTTCCTCCACAGTAGGATGCAGGCCAGAACGAAGCTGAAATTTGTTTAATTATTAATTTATTATTTTTTATATATTTCGATCATTTGACTTATTGTCCCTACGAAAAAGCCTTCGTCTTCACTCAGAACTACGACCCGATAAAAGCAGCTAAAATCAAGACGCAAGAAGCGCTAATTAAAACTTAATTTATAAATGTTTTTTAGAACACTAACTTTTTTCACTATTTGTTGTTTCTTTTGTTGAAGCTCACTCTCGCTAGTTTCGCTCTTGTCTAAATGGTACAGAATCGAATCGTGGTACTGAACCCTTTTAAGGTGCCGTTCAAGCTCAAAGTATCTCAACTGACGCTGAGTCCAAAATTGTGACGACAGTAGCTGTTTGGGAAAAGCATACCTGTTTGAAAACACACAGTAAGCCACAGTAAATATTAGTCTTAAGAAATTGTCCAGCACTCGTTCTTAATTAGGTCCATCAGCAAAGGAAGGAAACTTTCTCCTTATTATTTTTCTATTTTTTTTTGTTGATTCATTTAGAAATAAACATCACAGATGATTTGCTTGTTTAGGCTCGTCTGGGTGAAACCAAATTGCGCAAAGGCCAATATTTCTTTCACGCGATGGCTTGAACAGATAAGCCTTTTTTGTTAAGAAAGGATCAGCAATCGCTGCTCTAAGCCTCGCCAATGCCATGTATTTGTATAAATAAAAAGTTAATTATTTTCTATATAACAGTTTATAATGCATCGATTCACATTGATTGCAGATCCAACTGGATCTGGTCATTCAAAGACGGTAGCTGAACATAGCCAGCAGTTCTGCTGTGCACTGAATATACCCACAGCACGTGCACGAGACCCTGCGTATCTAAGCAACTGGTTTTTCAAATTATAATTATTGCATAACTATCACAATTATTAATATACATCTCAGTGTTGATGGTTTTGTACACGTAAAAAGCTTTTTATTTTTCAAAAAGAAAAGTGTCATGTTTTTCAAATGGAGCGTTATCTTTTTTTTTTTTAGAAGATTGTTTTAGAACATGACATTCCAAATATGCCAAGTGTATCAGAGGTCGTCGTTCTTCGATTTATAGTATGAGAGTCAAAATTGATTTTTTGATGGGAACGCTACGATGCTGATGGATGCTTTCAACGTTATTTGTTTTTTGCTTGGGTATAACTACTATAGCTATAACCATTTTTCTCCAAAAACATCCATAGCATACGAGTGGCAGTATATCGCGCGGTATGGTTCAGCTTACCAAATGTGATAATTCATAGTGATTGATTTACTAATTCATGTATAATATAATGAAAATATTTAAGATCATCCTAATAATGTGTTTGCTATATCGGGATCTAGGCATTCTGTTTTGGGCATTCAAATTTAGCATTGATAGGCATCAACGACGTCTTGCATAAAGCAACCATTCGTTCTGAAGTCATTAGGTCACTTTGCGACAGCGAACCCAATTGAGGTATATATGTTGTACCTAAATCGTTTCTCATATTTGTTAGTTCCTTTTCGTATAAATCCTTAGATACTTAGCAAATATTCGATGCATGCTGAGCAAATGCTACCAACGTGAGTTAATCTATGCTGACTCTGTTAATTTGGCCAAAGAGAGCCAGAAGGCCAACCACTGATGGAGGATTCGGCAATATTTCGGTTATTTCGAGCCCAGCTTAACCATTCAGCATGATTAAGTTCTTACTTTCCGCTTCAGCGGAAAGGATGCAAGACCAAGAATTCTGTTTTATGTCCGTAAAAGCATCAGATTGATGTAAAAACTTTCAGACGCGGTTTATAAGCTGTGAATGGCTCTCATAAGATTCCACGGACTTGCTAGGGAATCTAATTAATCTTTTATTTATTTATTTATAGGGTATAAATACCAGGGTAGCTGAATAAAAATGTAAATGAACAAGAACAGACGAATCTTTAAATTTACCGTTCACTTCTTTGGATTGCTCTTGCCTAATAATAGGCATTAATATTAATGAATAGAATAATAAAGAGATAATTCGGAAATGGATTCTTACTTGCTTATCGTTATTGCTTGTATTATTATAAACGCTCGTGGGGTCGTACGATATTTTTCCTGCTTAATTTGAATTTTCGTATTAGAATCAGAACTGGCAGAATTTTAGCCGATTATAGTAGTTCCAATAAGTTATTCTTTGCTTTTACAAAATCAACAACTGCTGTGTATCGTAAATATTCTGAGTCGATCTATTGCCTTTAAAAATTATCATAAGCTTCGTGTATTCTAATCTTTGTGATCAGTATACAGTTTTAGGTTTGCTTGGAGGTAACAACGCTATATGAATTGAAATGTATCTTGCTAAATGAATGGTTGGAGCAGTACAGATGAAAATATTACGCGTTCCTATTACATTATGTTATAGATTGGTTGCTTGGGAATAACTTCGTCTCCCCTGAAATTCCCCAGTAATTGCAGTAACTGATATGCATTCTAGGAAGTGGGACTCGTATCACACCCAAATTGTAGAACCCAAAGCTGCTGATTGATTTAAACAAGTCTGTCGCGACTAGTGACAGGACCGACAAGGTACGACCTAGAGAAATATAATTATTATCTAAATTGTGTGCTACATATATGGATTTGGTTTCATGTACGTTTGCTACACGGACCACATCGTCTACAGTGAAGCTGTTTTATTGTCTGTTTTATTTAAACATTTCGAGAAAAAAGTGTCGTGGTATAATTAGGTTGAATGGTAAAGATTTTCTAAAATATAATGAATACCATTTTCCCCACGTGGAAGTCAATCCGTTAAAGTCGATTGTTTGCAGTGGATTTGTTCCCGACAGCCTGTGAGGGTAGTAGTACTCACCTAAGAAAGCTACACACCATAGGCTGCATTGAAGCGCAGATTTGATCTAAGTAAATCAAGCTATTGACATTTGCACTCTATAATTACTGTAATAAGCTGACTTACAACAGTGGGAAAATGAAGTAGTTTGTTAGCGGCATCGCGCAAATGATCAGTATGGGAGCAACGTGTATCATATCCTTAGGAACCTGTGATAAATAGAAGTAAACAGAATTAGCAGATCGTCCAAGGTTAACACTCTATCTACTAAGATATACTATGTTTTCAACTATTTAATGAAATATTTCATTGGCGTAGCTTCCTACTCACCTGCTTAGAGGTACGTGCCATCTTGCATGCACCTAAGCACTCTATTAAGACGGCTAATCGATTTGATTTTAAAACAGTTTACCGTATAACACGCAATACGTGTTCACATTAAAAGTTAAAAGTAGATGATTCACCTTGTAAAAAACTTCTAGTTGCTCTCGCGATAATTTGTCAACTGGCTTCCCGTTTTTAAGTTCTTTTGAAACGGTGAGATACATTTGTATGTCTTTATACAACAGTTTTGTTCCTAAAAAAAAGCGAAAAAACATAAATGTAAGAAATGCTGATCTCTCATACAAGATCTATATATATATATATATATATATATATATATATACTGTCTTCTAGCGCTACACAAATTGATATTAAATTAAGTAGAAACGTGAGAAAAGTTTGCAGCAACGATTTCAACTGTCATTTGTAAGTTTTTGGTTTGCCGGTATAAGGGACCGGACGCTTCCTCATACTTCATAATTCCGGGAAAGGCGGGAACTTAAGCTCGTAGAATAAAAAAAAACTTTCTATGGAAATAATAGTTGTCATGGTCACAGCACCATTCGTAAATCATTTTTTACTAAAAGTATTAAATGTATATAAATAACAGGTGGTGATTTTTAAGTTTCCTTTATTTACAGTTTAGTTTGTTTTTTTAACATATAGATTAAATGAGATAGTATGACATTTTAGACACGTTAAAAACGAAACAAAGACGTTCCACATGATGACTGAACCTATCCACTGTATTTAATTAGATTACATAAAAAGAAATATTTTCTTTAATAGAACACAAGAAACTTCAGTGTTGTCATAAGTAAGCAATAATATTTTCTGGTTTCTGAAGGCCTGAATAGAATGAATCAAGACAATAGAGCATTACCAATTTTCATAATATTGACGTAAGTACAATTAAAGCCTCACCTGATCCAAGGCTATTGTACACATCAAAGATTGTTGGCGTGTGTTTTTGCATAAGCTTCTCATAGCCTTCGACGAACTCAAGAAATTTTCGAGCGAGAAATATACGAGGCCGGGAGCGGGGTTGTACATAATTTTCTCCATATCTAAAAGTTGATAAAAGGTTGTATTCAGAATATCATGTATATGATGACATTGATGAGCTTTTACAAATATGTTTGATCAAAACACCTGCGAGTTTTCAGCCAGCAAGACAAGTAAAGACCAAGCCCTCTTCCAATTTCACTTTTCATCACCTGTAGCCAACACAAGCTAAATACGTTAAGGCCCATACGATTGAATGTTAACTTATATACGTAATAACATATTTTTATCCATAAGTTTAATTTCATAACTTGAACAGATAGGTAGACAAACATAAAACAAGCAGGTTTCATCTTGGATGCTGGCTTAAGAGAGGGGCACACCTCCAGAGACCTTTGGCACGACACGGTTGGTTGTGATGCAGAGGACATCATTAACGCACACTGGATGAATTAGAACTTTTAGAGCTATTTGAGAGCTGTTTTCGAGGGCTTCCCAGATTTAAAAAAAAAAGTCAGTTTTTTATATTTTATGTATAACAGAGGCGTATCCGTTGGGAAAAGTGATTTAGGTGGAAGTGTATGTTTTTGATCGAAGTTCAGTACCATCGTTGAGAGGTACGCGCTCACAAACAATATATGACGTTCCATATACGAAAGCACAATTTTAGCGTAAACGTCAACGAAAATAACTAGTGATTCTAATTAGTATGCACGAGAATAAATCGGCCAGCATTATTATCAGTTTGACAACTGGCCCTCAGCACGAAACGAAGAGTGTCTAGACCATTTCACGTGTTCTTACATTTAGTAGGCCAACATGATAGCATTTACAATTAAGAGGAGGTGGTCATTTAAACCTCTCGATACTACCTAAACAGTACTACAACCTTAATGTTTGAACTAACTTAAAAAGCGACCTGTCAGGTAATCGATTTGTTGCATGCTACCTGTACGTAGTGTTTTTGTTGTTTGCAAAAAAAAAAAAAAGAATTTCCTTAGCTTAGTGACACAGAACTAAAACCAAAATCGAACAAATTTTATTCGCCAAGGTTTTGGCGTGTCTTTGAGAAGAATGACGATATTTTGATTGCCTCCGTCGGCACTGAAGGATTCCTTACTGAAAAATGCGATGAACATTATGTTAAGCATTCATTTTACAATGTTTGAATAACAATATGAGTTATCTTGTCGAAATGAAATAAAAGTTTGCGTCTAATTTCTAACAACAGATTAAACATAGAGCTTTTTGCAGATGTCACTGCTATATTAAAACATCGTCACCACCAGGATCTTGTGGTTCTGGTTAGAAACCATATGACAGAACAAACTTCTAGAAAAAGAAAGTAAAAGTACTTTATTATAAGTTTACTTGATTATACAACAACTGATCATGCGTTATATGCTTGCGTGCGGACTGCGTATATAATGTTACATACATACATTGTCCAGTTGAAATACATAAATTACGTATACATTTTGGGCAATGCTTATATAGGGCACATCTATGGAATTTGACCTACTTGATTTTTTCTCGATTATCCGCGAGCTTCCTGAATTGAGTAAGTTGCCCTATAGAGGGTCTCAGAAAGCTCAATGCCCGATGCATACTTTACTTGTTATTTTCGTTATACATCCGACAAATCACTTAGGAAACTTTTTTCTTCTACCAAAGTCTTGCAATGATAATGAAAGTAATAAACGAAACGGAAAAGCCTTCAGTGAATCGTACTAACATCGAAAAGATTAGCCGGTAAAAATTATTCGATCGGCTCAGCCTAACAAAGGATTCGACTCGCGCACCGGGCGCGGCCATTTTGTCTCATGTATTGATTTCAGTTATACTTCGTAAGCATGCTATGCTATAAGTTCCCCTCTCACGTATAGGGGGTTTGAAGTATACAGAGCTTAAGTATTTTTCTAATATTTAATAAGAAACAATACAATATTTCTTTACCTTTTAATATTTCCTGTGTGATGCTACAATTAGTGCCACAAAGGTACCACAACCATCTGACAGACATCAAAGCTAAATTATCAAGAGTACAAACCGTATCGAAAATCAACAAAGAAGATGACAAAAGTATTCAGGTAAGCTTTATTTTGCCTTTATACATCGATTAACGTTATCCGACGGCTAGGTACACAAAATGTTGCGTCATTTGCTTGTCTTTCTAAGTCTATGATAGTGTATTTGAAATTGAAAAAATATGCGTCGCCAATTTTGTTCTTGTTTCTACAATAAATACGAAAAAAAGGACACTGAAGCTCCGTCAAATGTTTCGGTCTTAGATGGCAGTAGTAGCTTCTTCATTAAGGCCTCTTAGGCGCTCTTTTCGAACAAAATAACTTTTGCTTAATAGACGACGAACAATTGTGCACGTGTGACAATGAGCTTACGTAAAGCGAACATTTACGATAAAAACTATTTGGATAGTCAATTTAATATGTCATTCTGAAACTTATTTATTCTTCAGTTCTTATAGCTGAGTGTATATTTCTAATGTACCAAGTTAATCAAATTGTTTTCCTGTGATTCAAATTTCTAACATTTTCGGGTTTTGCAAGAATTTATGTTTATTTATATAAAAAAGAATCATAATAAATATAATTACTAACAAACTTCCGAGTACCTGAAAACCATATTGAATATTCTGTAGGTAGAATAAAAAAAGAGGGACCTACAATAATAGACGAGTTCCTAAACGAATAGAACTCTCTACATCAGTTACTATTTATAAATTGGTTTAGTTATCGTTTTCTGTGCATCGTTGGTAACTAAGGCTGAGTTGCCGTCTCTGTATGTAATTTTATAATCATTTAGAATTTAGAATAACTAATAATATGGTAGCAACATATGAATGGGAATGATTTACAACCTTTGAAGTAGATTCGAGTTGCGTTTTGTTTTTTATTTAAATGGTAAACTTTGATCTGTTGTGATCACAAGCGTCCATGACAATCTCAATAAGCATCATAACTTCACGGTATAATTTCAGAGCACTGATTATGGGCGCACCTGGTTCAGGTAAGGGCACAATTTCTGAGTGGATCGTTCGAGATTTCAATCTAAAACATCTTGCTGCGGGAGACCTCCTCCGAAAAAATGTCAAGGAAAAAACTCCGATTGGTAGTATATTTTTACTTTAAACTTTTCTTGGTTATGCGAATTATTATTGGAGAGGCGGTGGTCTAGTCAACTAATAGATAATATCTAAATAGACGCTTCAAAAAGGCGCTGATGCAAGTTTTCCAACACCCATACCTATACATCTTGTGTCAGTAAACAAATTATATACATTAAAATACATTGTTATTCATTTTACTGATTATTTTTGTGCATTTGAAGTATTGGTAGCCAGATATGTTTGCCTTCGGGAACCATTGAATTCGACAGGTCTTTGCCACTAGCGGCGTAAGTTAGCCTGGCTGACACGTTCGGCAGACTTTGTATTGTCGCTTGCAGTCTCAATCATAAACTATCTCCCAGGGTCGTGCAAATGGTGACTGTGCGCTCTTTCTGCCGCTTCTTTGCTAGTTTCTTTCCTTTGTACGCAGTAATCTCTGTTCGATATGAGCGGACGTTCACGATCGTCTCATTGTTGTCGTTGATGACAAACACACCGGTGCCAACAATATAAATATACCGTCCCTATTCGGTAATCCTCATTTATCGTGTCTGGGCGCATAGAAAATACTTTGCGGGACTGCTATATTACCTATAAGAATAGTCGATAAAAATAAAGCTCAGTTTCTTGAAGAGCGTTAAATGATACTTGTAGTCTAAATATATTGCACAACTTACCTTCTAGTGTCATTAAGTACTGTTTTATTGGGCCCATTTTTTTCCCGTAAGTCGCAGCTTACAACGGTTTTCAAGCCATTAAATATCAATCCAAATATATGGGAAAACTGGGATCTCTCTGTACCAATACGTCGATTAGAAGCCTGCTGCTTGCGGCTGGAAAGTAGACCCTAGCATATGAGACATACATGTTTCATTTATTCTTAAATACATTGTTGAATTTGGGCCACTATTACAATCACCTTTTATAAGCTACAAAAAGATGAGAGAGTAGTTTCAAGTTGACCACAGATGACGTAATTGTTAATCTTATCAACCAATCAGGGTTCTGATATCGTTTCATAGGTCGTGATGCATCATCTTATATCGAAAAGGGCCAACTTGTACCTGACAGTTTAGTCACCAAGATGATATTGGAGGAACTCTCAACAACATTTAGTAAGCAGTCGTACTTACTCGATGGATTCCCCCGTACCATTCCTCAGGCAGAAGCATTATATGAAAAAGAGAAACTCGATACCTGTATTAATCTCGCTGTTCCAGAGCAGGAAATTATGGATAGAATCCAAGGTACTGTGAGTTTCGCTGTCAAGGTTGTTTTTGCTCTAGACCTAACTTAAATGCGTGATTACGATTCGCGTTGGTCTAGCATGCCATACTAAAGCACCAGCTATTCTGGGTGCGTATCGATATATAAACAACAATTATACCAATAAAAAACTTAATGAGCAGGCTTTACTATAGAATATTCATGAACCTTATGAATCTATGAAGATTTGTGAAGGCTAAACGTTTAATCTTTCCCATTATACGAATACAGGCCGCTGGTACCATCCTGGCAGCGGCCGCACTTACCATACGCAGTTCTCACCGCCAAAAGTCCTTGGAAAAGATGATGTAACCGGGGAACCTCTCGAGCAAAGGTCGGACGATAAGCCTGATACTGTTAGAGCTCGGCTCGACGCATACCGGTAAGACCTGATGTAAATAAATACTCAGTAAAAAGTAAAAAGGCCTCGTCTGTTAATTATTCATCTAGCCAGAAATTACATGTGTTCCACTCCTTAAAGTCTAACAGTTTCGGCTCATTATTGGCAAGCTTGTTATCAAAATAACTGTTCTGTATTGTTTCTAAAGCAAAACCTTCATTTATAGATATCTCGTAAGTGGTGTAATACGCTTCGGATAACATATTATATAACTACGTAATATAAACAATATAGCCGAAAAATCCGTATCGTGTTGTGTAGTTATTTTAAAGCACTGCCTAGTAAGGCATTAGAACAATCACGTAATTTTGTCCAGGTATAAATAATAACCTTTGATATTCTTCTTCTGAATTTCTTCTTTAACCACCACAGAAAGCAGACGGCTCCGGTACTTAACTTCTACAAGGAAAAAAATCTCCTCCAAGAGTTTGCAGGAACAAAATCGAAGGAAATCTATCCAAAAGTGCATCAGTATTTGGCAACAATTTGCGAACCAGTAAATACGCAATGAGTGGCCATTGAAACGAGCAAATATTTCTGAATATAATAGCCTTCCCACGCTGATTAACCGATTTCGTCATATCAAATTATTATAGAGTGATTTGTATTCCAAGAATTAATACGCCTGACTTTGTATGAAACGCTAAGAAAAACTAATAAAACAAAGTGATATATTTTTATATTTTTTAATACTTATGTATTTATTATTCCTAGTTGTTTTGCATTGTAGCCAATTTGTTACTTACAATAAGTAAATAAAATTGTTTTGTCATGTTATTATACGCGTAAAAATAGCTCATCCGTTCTCTTTATAAAGATCATCACATTTAAGAAAACTCAGTACATTTCGTCGGTAATTCCCCCACTTAGTGTATATCTATCAGTTTCCTAAATAATATCCAGCCGTGCAATTTTCCAATAATCTTTAACGGGTTGATTAGGAACTTCAGCCAGTGTTCGATAATTATAATATACTCATCGCGCTTGTCTACATCATTATGACGCCTTCTACTGAATTTTCGATAGATCTCTTAACAGGTCCCCGTGATAGCTTAATGGGTAATATACTGCGTACTAATTTTAGGGACACGTTCTGGTGACTATTCGAGTCCTGGCATAGACACACTTCGTTTGGTGGTAAGAGCCACCCGCCTGATAGAATGCCTAACGACCATACCGAACGTCAGACTCGAACAAGCAAGACTAGGATTTCGTAAATGACGATTTTGTTTACTTAGGGGCTAAACGAATGAGCAAGAAGCTCGATACTTACGCGACTCTGTTCTTCTTTCGAAACCCACACTTAAACTGCGAAGTCATCGTGGTCAGAATCAGTTCTCCCATTTTAGGGAACTCAACTTGAGTATAGACGAGTAAAAGGTCGTGAGAACGTTTGAACTTGTAATACTAACTGGACAAAACACCACATTAATTAAGTACTTTCGAAGGAGACTAACTGCGAGTATGTTTAACTTATGAACAAGGCCATTCATATGTTTCTCAATCCCCGTCCACAAATCTTGATATTCAGGATTTCGTTTATCCGTAATACTCTTCTTATCTTCCACAATTTCTTAAGCAGGGTGCTTTTTTCTATGAACGATCCACTGCATGGGTCGGCTAACGTCATACTACCAATGCCCGTGTAAGTCCACCCACAACTGGTGACTTTATCGCTCTTCTTTTTACGAATTAACTCAAAGGCGATTTACTAAAGTTTAAACTATTATTAACTGACACAGATAAGTTGGTTGAACCCCTAACGAGTAGTGGACAGCAATAATTTACGTTGATTTTATCTGTTATTATAGTTGAACAGCGATGATCATCGCTTAATTAGCAACGTGTAAAAGATATTCCGTCAAGGACAAACGTTTGTGCTAGGTAAATTACAGGCAACATTGGCGTATGTATTGACCGAATACACTTGATCGATCTACTTCTTCCACAGGGCTCAGCGTGAGCGTGTTTATTCAAATAAAACTGCGACCATGTTGATTTTTGGTCCACGTCAATCACAGATAGCATAATCATTGTCCTACAACTACTTATTTGGAATTGTGTCGATTCGGAGATTAAGGTGTTAAACGATGTATTTTGATATGTGCGCCAGTTTAAGTTGCAAAAATTACTCAGTAATCGGTGTAAGCGAACGCGGATCTAATGAAGGGAGATGTTAAATTGACCTCTTTAATGCACAGTCCGGATAAAATACACTTTTCTAATTTGATTAGATGTTTACATCACATTGAGACGCTAACTTAGTGTTAGAAGCAGTATTATATTTCGACCAAGACATCGGCAAATGAGGACTTATTTTACGAAAATTATTTTTGGTATGTGCAACAGAAAACACGAATAGAAAACCATTTACTCCATTTAATACGATCGACAAAAATCCTATGATTTTATGATCAGTCGAACGTATAGATACTATCAAAACAAAATGCTAGCACGAAATAGGTTTGTATTTTACGAAAAATATAAAACTGTAATCTTGCTTACGGCAATATTTTGATAAATTTGCATGCTAGTTTTTATAAGGAAAAAAGAGAAATTAGAAAAACTGATGAGGATTTGAGACTAACTCTCATATGATCACACTTCAAAAGAACTAAAAGGTTTAGCATAGAGAATACCGGACGGAAAACAACCATTACCCTTAAGGCAAAATACGTTTTTAAATCCAAGAAAACCATTGTATTGTATTTACAGTCATTCACATTAAAGAAGAAGTAGTTACATTGTATACACACCATACGTTAGAGGGCGGAACCTAAAAATTCACTTAGGGTATTAATCATAATAGCAAAAGTAATCACAATATCGATAATTACGCCAATGATAATATGGATGATGTGCGTCCACACTGTACAGTATAAAATACGTTAAATGATCGGTATTAATGTATTAATAAATTCTATTAGGCTAACTAGTGCTTCTATGTCGTTTTCGTCGGCTTTCACTCGAGTGCTCTTCGGCCCGTCGCCTCTCATGTCTGTTTGATCGGCCGTCTTCGCGTCTATCTTTATCCTTTTTGCCTTTGTGTTTCCCGGATTGTTTTACCTGCTCGTCCTGTCGGTCTGGCCGTGGCTCATCCCCATGTTCCTGAGACCTCTCTCTGCGGCCCTTTTTATGATCTCTTCTTCGGCCATCATCTCTTTCTTCGGGGTCATTATTACCGCTAGCCCGTCGACGCTTCTTTCGATTCTCTTTATCTTCCTCAACCCTCCCCCTGCGGCAATGACTTGGATTGGCCTCAACACTTGTGTCAGCTAAACTCTTTGACTTTGCCGACGCCCGTGGACTTCTGTCATGGTTCCAGGCATCCGTATTTTTAGAATTTTTCTTGTCCAAATTTTTACGACCGTTTTCCTCATCCTGGGTATCTTGATCATCTCCTAGATGTTTATTACGATATTTTCGTTCGTCTTCTTGCATGCTTCTTGAGTCCTTATAGCTTTCGTCCAGCCGTCGGTGATCCTCTCTACGATCGTCATGGCCATGTCGGCGGCTTCGTTCTTGTTCCTCGTTATCCAGGGTGTCTTTTCGGCTGCGGTCGTCTTTGCGGTCCTTTCTTCCAGTAGCATCTTCTCTTCGCCGATCATCGAACTGTCGATGGCCGGTTTTTTCATCGAAATCTCGGTCCTTGTTTTTATCGCGTTTATAAGCATGGCCGTTATGGTTACGATCAGCATTGCTTCGACCTTTCGGAGGCTTTTCTTGGTTGTTGATATCGACTTTTCCGTTTTTACTAACTGATTCTTTTTTTTTCTTGGCCGCGTTCTTTCGCCGGTCTCCATCGTCGCTGCTTGATGATGAAGTCGACGAAGAAGAAGAAGATGATGACGACGATGATGATGATGATGATGATGAGCTCGATGAATCGCTGGATGAAGAATCGTCAGAATCTGAAGAATCGCTGCTGTCACTAGAGGATGAACTTGAAGAGCTAGATGAGGAATTAGAAAATTCCTTGACAACAGGTGGCGGCTTCTTCGGCATAGTTTTTAGATGTTCGCGAAGATCATCGCTGCAATACACAAACATATTTAGCAAATTGTTATTGTTGCAATATAAATTAGTGGATTAATTAATAAAATTATTATATAATCAAAAGGTAAGTAATCGCCTGTAACACAGTACATGCATAAATGAACATAGATAGAGCAATTACTAGCTAGATCGATTAACTAAGAAACCTTTTGATACGCGTTAACAATCAGAAGCATGTTTAGGGCGTCTGTGTACAACTGGATGCGTCGTAGAATCGTGCTAAAAATATATAGTTATCTCCGAAAAGACTTGTCATGAGACCTAAGTTTAACTCACGTTAAGCCTCCAAGTCCAATAGAAGTGTAGAAATTTATTGCGAAGCGCGTGTTTTGTGGTGAATTCCTTGGAAAAAGGCCATCAAATACTTCTTGCAGTGTAGGATCTTTTACTCGTTCGTTTAGTTTCACCAACCCCATAAACTCCGCGAGCTCTTGGAATAGAATTTTGATAAAGATTCGCGACGACGAGTTGGTTGTTTCTTCACCGAGTTTGATAACACTTAACGCCTGCCACGGAATTGCATCACTGTGTAGGAGATTTGCGAAGAACTTCGCACAATTACGAAGTTTATTGGTGTCGAGCCGATGTACTGTCTCGTAAGCGTTAACAAAGATCTCACAGAAAGGTTCCATATATTCGCGTCTAATCATGCATAGCCGCTGGGCAACTAATGAGAAAAATTTCTCATATGTTCTCTGTTGAGCACAGCAATCCAGGACCATGTGACACATCTCAGGTATCTGTGCAGGTTTGATTTCGAGCTTAAGTAACTTGTGGACACATTCTTCGAAATTCAGTGAACTTTGTATTGTTAGAAAAATAGTCCGCCGTAAGGCAACCATGTTAGTTTCTGTCATGTCGACAATAGCATCCTCAGTCTTCGGTTGTTTTCCCTCATCATCTTCAGAGGATTCCGATGACGATTCGGACGAATCACTCCCTGAGCTGCTACTGCCACTATCACCTACGATCGATTTGTAGATGCCCTGATACTTCTCTTCGTTTTCTTCATAGAGGGGATCGAATTTAAAGATATTTAGTACATCTTGTCCGTCATTTACCTCTTCTAAGCTAAGCATATGCGTGAACTGGTCGGCTTCTTGGACAAGATCTAATTCTGGAATAACATGTGGATGATCTTTAAAACCTTCTTTACGAACCGCAGCCAAAACCTCAATCATATACTGGCACCGTTTATCGACAGCACCTTCGTGAAGTATATGGCGCAGACGCTCCATAATTGCCAGTACTCCACGCGGCGACACGTCCGTGAGCATCTGTCCCGCTTCTTTTAAAAAGGCAATGGCAACTTCAACCGAATCTTCTGTAGGCTTCTCAAGGAGTAGGGTAAGAATTTCAAGAACGATGACTTCGTGGGCCACTTGCTGATTAAACAGGTGAGCAAGAAATTTAACGCTCGACACGCACATAGTTTTATCATTCCGCCGGAATCCACGCTTAAATTGTAAGATTGTCCTTTTCATAATTAGTTCACCGGTCTGAGGAAATTTGGAGTTGATAACAGCCACAAGGGCTGCGTAGACATGAGTGAAAGTCGGTGAAAATGCCTGGGCCTGCATTATTGCCCGAGCTAGCACACCACGGCCACGGATTAAATTTTCACGGAAAAGCTCGAAAACGATCTCTTTTATGTTGGATACGTTTACTTTATTAACTAGACCGTTGATGCTTTTCTTGAGCGCCTCCCATGCGATCCTCTGGTACTCAATAGTTCCTTTATCCGTAACATTCTTTTGCATTTCCCGTAATTTCGCTGGTGGAATATACGCCCCACCTGTTCTTGTTAGCAGTGGGTCAACTGTTTTCTTTTTTGGGGGTTCCTCCGCTTGGGCCTGCAACGGAGCCCGAGCAGGAGCTAATGCCACCGGCGGTGGAGCCTGTACAATCTGGGACTTCAAACGGCGTCCCTTCGTTACATCGTGTTCATCCTCGCTACTGTCGTTGTCCATATCACTGACTGAACTTTGTCCGCTTTCACTTCGACGCTTCCGTTTGGAACCTTTTCCAGGCTTTGAGGCGGTCCGAGGGTGCTTCGCTTGGTTGGCACTATCCTGCTGATCAGGGGCATCGTTTTCTCTTTCACTGCTGCTATCGCGGTCCGTTGCGGTTGCTGAGCTGCGCCCGCTTTCACTTTGGCGCTGCCGACGAGGCGCTTTTGTAGTTTTTGTCGTACGCACATGTTTTCCTTGCGTGACGTTCTCTTGTTGAGCTGCAGTATCGTCCCCACTTTCACTACCGCTGGACGACGTATCTGTCACTATGCCTCGGACCTTCTTGCCCAGGGAGTGTGCTGGTTTTAATGGACTGCTTTCCTCGGCTGTTTCGTTGGTCCCACTGCTTTTAGCAGGTTGGTCTTGATCATTTCGATTAGATCTGTTTTTATCTTCGTTCTCTTCATCGCTGCCACTCATTTCAGCTGCCTGCAGTTGCAATGTATCTGGATGTTCTTCAGGAGGTCCAAAAGCTTTTGGCGATGGCGCAAGTGCTTGCGACGTAGCAATAGCTAAATTTTCTGTAAACAGTGGATAGATAACGTTAGACAGAAATAGACTAAGATAGTATGTGTATGTAGTCAATAGGAAGCGATGTGAGCTAATTGATCTTACTAGTATCATTAGCAATGTTGATATAAACACAGACTTGATGAAGAATACTGTGGGGTCACCAAATTTTGAAATACAAGGGTTATGTCAGCAATACATACCAGTCTTCGCTGCAACCGAATCCACCTTGCCCTGCTCTTTTTCATCTATACGTGTTTCGTCGTGTTTCTTCGTTTCAGATTTGAGTTCATGCGAGATCTTATCTTCACTACTTTCGCGTTCCTGCGAAGTCCCACGCCGACTGAGTGAAGTTTCGCGCGATGATGCAACCGAGCCTGTGCGCACACAAAGAATCTCTTCGCATCGGCCTCTATCGCGATCCGCAGCACGTTCTTCCGCGTACCTGTAAAATCAATAATAGTTCCACGATAATCAATATTGTTGTTGCTTTCGTCGTTCAAATTTTAACAAAATTCTTGCTTAGTATGATTTAAGCGGAGAAGTAATGCAATATTGGTGATGACTGCGTTTGTTCGCTGCGATTCTGTAGAAACCCAACAACTGGCGATTATAGGCATGCACTGCCGCGTTTAGAGGATCCTAAGCAAATAATAAACGAAAGTTGCCCTACACGTTTCAAATGATGTTAACATAGAAAGTCAGACTGATGAATGGGCATACATGCCTTAATCATCTGCTTTAAATAAACAGCACTGCAAGCCAACGCGTTCTGGACAATTCGAATGTAACAGGAGCACTAAGGATTACTAAGAACGTTTCATTTTTTTAACCTTTTTTAACGTAATCTCTAGAACAAAGCTCTTCATATCTGCCGAATAAATTTCAAGTAACCTCCATCCTCGAAAAGGCTTTTTTGATAACTAGCAATATGTTTTAATGAACCAGATTTGCCAGGGTGGTGAACGGCCACATTACAATTGCGCCATTTTCGAAATCAAATTCCCAATCGAGGCTATTGTTGTCGAGAAATGTCTGTCGTCCTGTCTTCTTGCAAGTATTCGCGATGTGGAATTATGCTTAAATATCCGGTATCTTCAACCCCATTTTTGATGCGACTAAAAATAATCGATGGAGATGATGCAAACATAAGCGGTTGGTTAGCCGAGGTCTCAGACTTTTGAAAGAATTTCATTGGCTATAAGGAACATGATAGGATCACTGACCGGCGATCACGTTCACGTGTAATCGTATCCCGGGAGTCGTCTCGCCGGCTTGAAGTACTCTCTACCGTTCCCTCACGAGCCGCACGCTCTGGAGTGGCACTCCGAGACGAATCGGAACTCGAGCCCCCTCCAGGGGCAGCCGCTGTCCCATCGCCTGCGCCACCTTCCTCATCGGCAGACGACGAAGACGAATCATGCCGCCTGTCCAGGGTATGCAAGTAATAAACGCGCATTGTGCCAATATTAGTAACATGTGAACGCACGTAAACGCCACTCGACGGGGTTTCTCAATTCGTTCTTCATATGCTATTTTTAATTTTACACTTTGAGAAAAAGATCTAATATTCCATTGTTTTTTCAACAAAAACAATTTTTCTTTATTAAAAAATAATAAATATATTTTCATGTAGCCTCTAAACGCTATCAAAAGAGTTTAGTAAAATAAAGATTCAAAAAAATGTATATTAAAACAACTCATAATAACAATACCATTAACAGTTGTTACTATTCTAGACAGTCGTAATTGCATTATTTACTATTTCATCATTATTTTTATCCGAAAAAGTAATTAAGCGCTTTTTTTGTATGGAAACCATGAATCCTGGCTATTGGTTGTATCTTGTATGGAGATTGTATCTAAGCATGTTAAAACGGGATTCTCTTCAATTAAAATGGTACTTAAAGAGTCTTGATATTTAATAGTTATGAAATAAAATAAGGTAATAAATTAACAGGTATTTTCAAAATTAAAAAAATAAACAGTCTGTCTAACGACTAACACCTATCTATGTCAAATTTACAATTTGCATAACTGTTGTGCAGTCCGTAACAGACAACTGAATTCTAACTAACGGTTCTGGTTTGCGCTTCAAACAGAGATTTTACTATCTGAAACCGTGTGATGACAACGGATGCACAGATAACCAAAAAAGTAAAAACTTTAGGCAGAAATCGCCTCGGTACATCGCAGCTCCGGAACAACACTGTCTGATAACATCTGTCTCGATCCCTTTTTGCGAGTGCTGCGATTGTTTCAAAGACCCTGTTAGAATATGCATAAAATTGATGTGACATGAACCAGTCTAATCCCAGACGGCAATTTCTTTACAAGAAAGCGATCGTTTCTTTGAACGTTTTTGCCGTCTTCGCTGAAACGCTATTACCATGTGTACTTAGGCGATCTGTCTAGTTTAACATGCAATTTGAAGCTTTCAATTTTGCCCCACAAGGGCAATCAAATAAACATAATTCCATAATGGAATTAGATCGAACAACGCCGGTATCAGTTTTGAGTCAGAAAAACGTGTTTTGCTTTGACGGACTGAAAATGCGCATAAAAAGATTATTTATAAAATGGTAATCCAAAACGATTTTGTTCTTCTATTGCTTCTATAAAAGCTCGTTTGAATCATCGTACCTACCTTTTCGGCATCCTGCACGACACGTTACAATGAGCTGAGCGCGAATTTTAAGCTTGACTCTTCTTTCACACCTCATACAACACCACGAAGCAAGACACGTTCACGCACATAAACAAACAAACCAGCTAAAGAAGGGGTTTAGTTTCAAGGGTGTTTACCTCCGCAAAGTAAAGCGGCCCGCCAAATGCGAAACACCAAATCGCCGCAGACGACCGTATCGTCATTGACATATTTAACTAAATCTTCCACCAACTTTAAGTGCAAACATAGCCTATCGTATGCCCTTAATGTAGTATTTTCTTGCAAAGTTAGAGTATAGAGACGGGCACTGCGTAAATAGGTGTTGACGACTTTGGAGAGGATGCTGGCGGAGCCATTATCTGTAACTATGTACAACGGCAGGTTCCGAACAATGGTGTCTAAATATAACAGCTAATTCAAATTTGTGCACTCACTGAGCATAGCTGTGTAAGCTTTCTTTCAATTCAACTGGTTGATTAAAGTCAATATCAATGAATAGAAAGGTAAGGACAGAAAAGGAAATACAAGCTTAGGTGAGACGAAGACCAGACGGTAAGCAGTAAATCCTGGTGTCGTTCTGTACTTAGTGTTTATATTTTTGCTCTAGTGGAGGAGTTTCGATTATCGGAAGCACTCAACATTGCTAATTATTCGTGTTTCCCGCGTGTGGAAGTTTGACAGCCCCAGTAATAATTGACGAGGATTGAGCAATTGTTGTGGTGCAGAACGTTCCGCCCTGAGAGGTATCAAAGTGCTCATAGGGATTATAAATGAAAAGGCGAACAAACAGCAGCCCGTGTAAGCAACTGTTGGTACACGTTTATTGCTTAGTTCATTATTATTTATTATAACAAACAGTGCTTTTGATTGAAGAATATGTGTGTAATGATTATAAATATCTCTCCGCTAACTGGCATCTGTGACGTACGCGTATATAGACCGACCACATTAGCCTCTATAATATGATACAGAGTATTTGACTGCAATTCCAGCCATATACATCCGATGCAGAAAAATATACTTTTTATTTGAAACCCTGTGACAAATGTACGGTGTGCTTTGCAACTAAGTGGACTGACTTAGGTTGTCATATTTATAAAACCCTTAATAGCATGATAAACTCAGTGATAAATCAAGGATTGCTGGTGCGAGTCCTGCCGTACGACAAATATCCAGCCATCATGTGTCAAATAGTTTATCTCATGATTCTATCGTCGTTAAGTTCGCAAGCAGAGAGCCATTTTCGACTCAATTTAGTATCGATCTGCTTTAGGATTTTCGACAATTTTCTCTTTAAGTACGGAGAAGGACGGTGATATGCCAAGCACGATAGATCGACATCGTACTATTAACAATAACAGTGTTTAAGTGAATCGTTTCTCCACCTTTTGCAAAAATTACAGCTTATGATATATACGTGTGATTTTAGCTTGCACTACTTCTGTTGCTATCACAACAGAGCTCATTAAAGACATTTTTTTTTCACATTCAATACTTCTTGAATTGCAGGGGCAAATGGAAGGCCGCGCTAGTCGCAGTCAGACAAGTGCAGCTGAACGTGAAGCAAAGGAGACCAAGGCTCTTTCCGCAGTGAGCACTCGATCAGAGAAAAAGGATGCCGATGTTACAAAAGAAAAGGTTGAAATACCTGTTAGAATTCGAAGACGAGTCGAGCAGGAGTACGTTAAAATTCGCAATGCTCACAAAGAGAAAAGGACTCGTCAAATTATTGTGAGTGACTCACTCATTAATCCACTGTTAATGCATCTATTGATTTTTTTCTAACAACCAGCAAAACCCATACTTTATTCAGCTGCATGAATGTGGCTGTCCCACGTTGTTTCTTCCCTTTATCATCAGGCTAATTGATTACTATAATCTGCTATATTTCGATATCAATATATGAATTCAGGAAAAATACACCGACAATCGCCGTTACGTTCGTGAAACGTTAGAGGCGACTCGTGCATCACGGAAGTACGGAGTCAAGCCACAGTCAATTTTTCCTGAAATGCCGGTCCAAGGAAAACTCGTCAAAAAGGTTGCTGTGGAGATACACGGCGGAGGTTCGGGGGCAGGCGGCGCAAAGCAGGCGGTCCCTTGTAAGCTTATGACCGCGGTACAAGCAATTCCTACAATGTACACCTGGGCTCCTACGCAACAGAATTTCCTCGTTGAGGATGAAACAGTTCTGCACAATATACCTTATATGGGTGATGATCAGGATGACAGTTTTATCGAGGAGTTGATAAACAATTATGATGGAAAAATTCATGGTGACAATGATCGGAAGAACACGGTCAATGACGAACGTCTTATCGAACTTGTGAACGCCCTCATGAAATATGAGGATGTTTCAACGATGTACACGCAGAAAGGTGATCTATCAATATGATTTTTACAGTAAATTTTATATTCTTATGCAAACATCTTTTATCGACTGTCGCCAGAATAGTAATCTCGTTAAAATAGTTGATATAAAAAGTTAGCCAATACTTGCAGCTAGTGATAAAGTTATATGCTTCTACGAACTTCTCGAAGAGATGGGATAATATACGAACACTTTGTATTTAACTTATTAACATTAAAAAACAACAGAAAACATAGCACAGTTTGAACAACGACGTAAACAAATATCATTATGATATTTGAATATGTCTAAATTGCACCATCTGTTGCAGTGCTATTTCACTGTGGCTAAACCGGACTCGTTTTCAGAGTTGGAAGACAATCTTTCAGACCCGCCGGAATACCTTTTTGCATGTGTGCACGCAGTCTTTCCATCATTAGCCGGATCTCCACATGATCTGCTCGAGAAGTATCGCCAGCTGACGGGTAAAGGCCCGAAGGTGCCTGTTGGTCAATGTACGCCAAACATCGATGGGCCGCACGCGCTTTCTGTTCCTCGTGAACAAAGCATGCATTCATTCAAGGCGCTTTTCTGCCGCAGGTGCTACAAATACGATTGTTTCCTGCACTGTAAGTCTTCGGAAGGTGTGTGTGAGTCGTGTGGACGAACGGTTTGTATGCGCTGAGAGGATTCTCACGACTATCAGGCAACCCAGCAAAATACAAAAAAAAACTGGTTTTTGAGATCACTAGGTACGTCAGGTAGTATGGACCGATGTTGGAAGGACTTAAGCAAAAATTCATTATCGATCAATCAGCTTGAAGGTATACTTTGGCATTTGTCAAAGGATCTCTATCGAAAATATGAGCCGTTCTATGAAATCGATTACAAACGCTTTAATTTATAGTGTCTGCTTCGTCTAAAATTAGCTAATTAGGAAGGTGTAGGCGCCATTGCTACGTCAGTTCGTTCTAACAGGTGCTTGAGTGATGGGCTGAATGCGATGTGTTGTGTGATGATTTTTTTAAATTTCATAGGTATATGCATAAATTTGAATCAATATATATTCTACAAACATATGAATATGATGAGTGGAGCAATGTAACAGTGATATACAGGAAGAGGTCATTATGACTTCCTTGCTACACATGGCTTTGCCACGCTTACTGGAGGGTCACTGCTACTATTGGTATCATTGCATATGATCCATTGGTATTGTTTTTAAATGAAGCTAGAATTGCTATTGTGATCTATAGTTCCACTTTTTACCCTCAGTATTCCCTTAACGCGTGCTGAACACTCTAACGACTAATGATATCATTCATACTGCACAAATTTTCCATAAAGCATTATTACCTTCAACGTTCAGCCGAATTAAAAAACGTTCTTGAGGTCAATGAAATAGAAACCATTTATTAAGTAAACAAAATATGTATTTACTGAAATTCTTAGACGTTGCTTATGCGGTTATTTCTGTTTTTTAGCTCAAGGCTCAGTCCCACAGCATAAACGCCGGTACTACGATATGAAGGTGGATAGCGAAGCTTGTGGAGATAAATGTTATCTGCATCTTAGTCAGGTTAAGGAGGAGCGCGCTAAAGAGGCAAAAGAGGCTAAAGAAGCCCGTGAAGCGAGAGAGAAACAGTGGGGTTCTGCAGGGGCAGGCGTAGCGGCAACCGGTATAAATGGCCCGGGATCCGAAACAGCAGAGGACGCCATTAGGGTTGAAGAGGTCGGTCAGGTCGAACCAGGAGCTTCTGGAATGACAGCGAATGATCACCATCATCACCATCATCACGCTGATAGCGGTAATGAGGGCAGCGACGATAGCAACGATGGCCATACAACTCGTGATGGGCTCGGTCATGCGAGGCAGAAGGTCACCGTTAATTCGCTAGCTAGTGAGTATTCATAAATATACATCTATAAATACGTGACAGCAAAGTATTTAAACGAATTATATGTATGATAAAAAAAAGTAGAATATCTGTACGTGCGTTAGGACCGAGAGACTGCTAACGACTGCAGAGTTGAGCTGTTAAATACGGCTACTGCTGAGGGCTAGTTCTAAAGGTCAAGCGCATTCTGATTCTCGAACATCGTCCTCACAAAACGTGCGTCTCCGAGTCATGATCAATACTGAGTTGTTGCTAAGGCCGGCTTGTGCAGATATTGTCGTTCGTTTAATTGATGACCTCAGTACAAAGAAGCACTAAAAGGGTGTCACTTAAAAAAAAAATTGTGTGTTTAAGAATTTTTTTGTGCTTATGTTTTGGCGCAGCCAATATCAAAATTGGCACACATGATTGATTGAATTTCTAATCTTGTTTTATTGATTTACGTTACATCTTGTGTGGAAGCAATTAGATGCATTTGGTTTTACTATATTATGTATCTCAGTGTGCGTGTGTGTGAGGGTCAGATTTTTAGATTTGCGCTTAGTAAAACTGATTTCGATCAAAGGTAAAATGATGGTTTCTTAATCTGTAAAATCAAAACGGGGCCGTTAAGAAGGTTGTCTATGATTTTTGTCTATGTATTTTGTCTATTGCAAATAATCACTTTTTAGTACACTCCTTAAACTAGATTTCAAAGAATGTCAGAGTCGAAGTGCACTTCGTACGAAATGTTTTATAGTCCTGAATACATAAAATCGTGATTACAAAATGTATCTGAAAGGATAGGAGCCACATATCTGAAATAGCGTAAATTCTGAGCTAACACTATTGTAGCTATCATTAAATTTATTGTGTCCTAAATAACAGTTTTAAGCCTAACAGGTATTTTTCTTCCTTTCCCCAAAACTATCGCTCGCTTGTGCACGTACATTTTTCATTAGATGTACGCCGAACCTATTCAGTTTCTCATATTATGTACATGTGTGTATTGGCATTATCATGACCATGATCACGACTATTAACCAATTAACACCATCACCACGAACAACGATCTTCTACATGGATCTCCAAACAAGCAGAGCGGCAGTATCCGTCTACAAACAGACGGAAGTCACCTCGTTCCGCCAACGTGTTCTCGTACTCAGGTAGTTACTGTATCCGCCATTAGTCAGTCAGCCAATTGGCAAGCGAACAGTGCTCGCTCATAAAGAGGGGAAAAGCAAACGAAAAAAAGCCTATAATGAGAAATCTGTAACAGTCAAATCACGGAATGGGCAGTAGCAGCATCATCCAGCATCTCATGCTTCTGAGCTGATAAGTAAGCTCTCAGTGACCCTGTGCATAGTAGTGAGTAGACGCCTTCCCAGCACGTTCGGGATCAAAATCGAAATTCATAACGCTATATCGCCGCCGTTATAATCATCGTGGAATTAAGAGTGAATAAACAGCTTGCAGAGACTGTCGAACACTTGAAATGGAGTAGAAATGGAGTACTCAGCTGACAGTCCTGAAGCCCCCGAGTGGTTGTACCGCCTCTGCCTGCTTTTCCCCCGTCTCTTTGAGCTTTTTTCTTTTTTTGATTTTTTAATAGCTCATTCGTACTCTAAGCATCGATCCGCAGTTGTAAGTAAGTCCAACTCGCGTAAACCGGCAGATCAATGAGCGATCTATTATACTATGCCATGGACGCACCCATACTGCAACGCACTGTACTGGAAATCGCCGACTGTTGCCGAAATGGCTTCAACATGAACTGGAAAGCCATCCACCCTAGAGACCAGCCTGTTGTGTCATTTTGGTCTAGGTTTTGCTTTCACTTAGTAATATTTCCATAGCCTCGATTACCGCTGCAGTTGCAATAGTCGTTCCGTTCTTGGTTTCTTAGCGTTCAGTCTTCGTCCCCTTTTTGTGTTATGAATACCGTGAAATGTTAGACCAATGCCTGCCCGTTATTGCTTACGTCGAATTAAATATATAGTAATAAATACGATGAGAACCATTTAGAATTAACACTTTAACTATGATGCAAGTAAAAGACACTGTTTTCATTGTCAGATCCTGAATTACGCTACTTTTTGTAATTATGTTGACGCATTTCATGTGTCTTAGTTGTACTGTTAGGATTCGATGGATGCAAAAGCTTCTTTCGAGTTCTTGCGCTGAACTCTCGATGACAACTGCTGAACCTTGTGAAGCAAATGCTTCTTGTTTGTTAGCGACAGCGTCGACACGTGCAAGATTTGTTTGTTGTGTTTGATCAATGTGAACTATTTTGACTTCGGCAGGTCGTTCATCATTAATGATTGAGCACCACTAGTTTCGTTTGAAAAAGAAACAAAGGTGGATGACCTCGCAATAGGAGTAAACTGTCAAAAAGACCTCAAAGACATTTTGCATCAATCTGATTAGATGTCTTATAAATTAAGCCCAGCTAAACGCAGTAATATATATCGTTTAAGCAAATCCGTGAAAAATCTTGTACTGCACATTGTTACTGCTAACCACATAAAACGTAAATTCAACCTAGATATAGCATCTAACATCTTGATATCGACTGTCTTTCTTAATAGTAATCCATTGTGTATTTCAGCTGAATCGGAGCGTGCCAAACAATCACCATCATCACCACAAAGTGAGCTTAGTGCTCGAGAATCATCGGAGGTTTGGAGTCCCGCCGAACAGTCATTGTTTCGGGTGCTTTCAAAACCATTCTATAAGAACTTTTGCGCTATGGCCGCAATTATGGTAACGAAGACCTGTGCACAGGTGTACACGTTTGCTCAAAACGAGGTTCGTGCGAATTTTTCATCATTTGCAGCACATGCGCGTAAACGCACTAACAGGCTATAACTTATAATAAAATATAACAATAAAAAGTAGATAAAACCTCACCAAAAATTATTGATTTGATAATTTGTTTCTTTCCATCACATTCTGTAAAACTTCAAGAAATCTAAAATTGTCGATTATACATACTTGATATCATAAAAAGCTTACGTCATTGGTTTTCGTAAACTTCATCCTGACTTGCGCACAACTCTGTCTAAGTGTCAGTGTTTTTATTGATGTGGAAGCAGCCGGTGGACGTGGCGCCCCCACCCGAGGACGCGGATGACGACAGTCGGCGGTCGAAAAAGAAGAAAAAGCACAAGATGTGGTCGACCCACTCGCGGAAGTTCGCGGTCAAAAACGCGGCGGGTCCCGGCCTGGCGTGTCAGTACTCGCCCTGCCATCATCCTGGACAGCCATGCGACACCACCTGCCCATGTGTTCAGTTAAGAAATTTCTGCGAAAAATTTTGCCACTGCAGCCCGGACTGCTTACATAGGTTGGTATTTGGGACTGTTGTTTAACACAACGAGGTGGCCGGCGAAGTTGGATATTGTTAGTGTTGTAGAGCTGGCTTACAGGGAAAATATTTATCAGCTTGTTAATAATTTTTATAGGTATTTATAGATGTAAAATTATTTTCACCTTTATCCTATTAATACTATGTAATTAACAAGTAAAGCAGCTAGTATAGAGAAGGTGATTCGAGGCCAAATAGCTGTATTTATTAATTGTTCAATTTGACAGATTCCCTGGCTGTCGTTGCAAGGCCCAGTGTAACACGAAACAGTGTCCATGCTACCTAGCTGTACGAGAATGTGATCCTGACCTGTGTCAGGCTTGTGGAGCGGACCAACTTCAGGTAAAACACTGCGTGCTCAAATTAGTGCAATATCCGAAGTGAACCAGAAGTAGGCAAACGTTGTCTTTTTCGCAACAACGAATACGGTTGTGTACATCTATTTTATTAGAAAATTCTTCACTGGCGGCATTAATATGTATTTTTGTAGTTGCGATTGTAGTAAAGTGTTAGCTGTATTATCAACTTCCTTCATTAATTAATTTTATTAGCTAATTAGATATAATGATCTGGTAAATCATTACATTTCAGTCGTAGAGATGAGCGTATAGATTAAGTAATATTACTAATAATCTTATTTTTAGGTGTCGAATATAACCTGTAAGAACGTTTGTTTACAACGTGGACTGCGAAAGCATCTGTTAATGGCTCCAAGTGATATTGCAGGCTGGGGCATCTTTCTCAAAGATGCAGCCGCTAAGAACGAGTTCATATCCGAATACTGTGGAGAGGTCGGTTTTTTTTATTCTTCTGTATGCAGCCCATTTGATGTACGTTTGTATACGCTTCATTTCCAGAAATTAAATTGCATAAGCAATTGGAAACAATATACATATATTGAAATGTTAAGCAATACTCTTTTTTGGAATTTGCTTGTAGATCATTTCCCAGGACGAAGCGGATCGCCGTGGTAAGGTGTACGACAAGTACATGTGTTCATTCCTCTTCAACCTGAACTCCGATTACGTCGTCGATGCAACGCGTAAAGGCAACAAAATTCGTTTTGCAAATCATTCGATTCAACCGAACTGCTATGCCAAGGTTCTGATGGTTAACGGAGACCATCGCATCGGTATTTTCGCTAATAGAAATATCCTTCCTGGCGAGGAACTCTTCTTTGATTATCGGTATTACAGATTTATAAAATTATGCAAAACATGACTTCATACTATAGCTCGTTTACGTCCTTATCGGATTACCTGGGGCATGTATTATATAGAGAATTTGGGATATTAGGTTTGCGTACCTTTTTTTTTGTTCGATGCCATTGTACATACGCAGTAGTCGTCTTAATTAAGGCGTTTCAAACAACGTGCTTCTAAAAAGTAGACATTTTATATAACGCACGCATTTATTTCGTTAATCGAGAACGGCAATGAGAATCTGCAGGTGCGCGGGCATTGTTTTCCGACAGGCAACACTAATTATAGTGGCAGCTTTCATATATTTCATCAAGCTTTTTTTAATATTCAATTTTCGTCATGTATGTTTCTTGTATTTCAGATATGGACCAACGGAGCAATTGAAGTTCGTCGGCATAGAGCGTGAGATCGAGTATCTTTGATACTAGTAATTTCGTTCGTTAAATCCACTGCACGTTTCTCCGTCTTCCATCTTCGCATTTTGGAACTCTTGAAAGGGGGTCAAGAACAGGAATAACACTATAGTTATCACTATGAGTGTGGGTATATAGAAAAAAACATTGGTCTAATTCAGTTTATGTATATTGCCCTTACAAATTTTCTAAAGTCGCCGGAAAATGATTCTCTGATGTTTATAATAACGGCGGCGTGTACAGCAATAACGTAATCGTTTGTTGTTAGAAATCGTATTTAGCTTTTTTGTAGATTTTTTACTATTGATACATAGCTTTCGAGTGTATGTATAGTACAAGTACCAGATGTGGTCGGAAAATGTACATAATTAATAAAAGTAGAGCAATTAGATTTAATTGCCTTGGTTTCTTACTTCAGCTACTATCAGCTAAGGTGTAGATCATCAAAGTCCCTTCATAGAATGATCTCATCAAATCTGACGCCCTAATTTCAATTTATATTCGGTGAAGACAGTTAGGAATGCAGCGTTTTAAAGTTGTAATCCACTTATCAATATTATATAAACTAGACCTTATAGGTCGATCATGAATAATGCAGTCCCTGTTTTTTTAGCGCTCAGTTATTACACGAGTTACTTGTTTTTAACTTACATTTTACTTATAACAACTGGCACATCCATGCCACCTGTGATGGCTTTCTGCGCCTTGGTCTCCTCGGTCGCATATACTACTGTACATTCCATAGAAAAATAAAATAAGGCCTTTCCGGCTTTTTAAATAGGTAAGTGACGACCAATCAATAATCTGTAGAATGTTTTAAAGGAAGGCCGATTTTTACCTACTTCTATTATGCATTGTGGTAACAATATGTATCAATCGATTACGGACTCGCCTTAGAAGATTCAATCCATTTGGACTGGTGATTTTAAGGGCCGCTTGGTTTAGGTAGTCAACACGCATCCTGTGAGTGCGTTGCCATAGTAACAGTAGCTAAGGAGCATACACCCTTTCTGATTCAAACTATAACATTAGCAAGAACTATCATTAAATAACTAGGAAGATAAGGAACTGAGAAAAGTGGGCATTATTACTTAGATTATCAGCTGGTTGTATCTTGTTTCATAAATTTATTGGAGAAACTCGAAATAAATAAATCAAGACCCACTTTGATTAGATTCCTGATAATATGTGATGTTACACCCAGAAACTGGTGACTTGTTCACATAATAATAATAACTAGATAAATATAATAAATATAATATGCTGACTCAGAAAAAACCCAATCTTAATTGTCTCTACTGATGCTCTTATGCATTTCATCCCGAAAGAATTAGATGCATTCATTATAGGCATTGTGACGAAGATGTATGAAGCGAACGTTAGCTTTGGGAAGTCCTATAGATAATATACTGTAAATATGGCGCCAACACTGAAGTCCGTCTGACTGATTACATAAAGGCTAAGCGTTGGATGCCTTAAAATGTTAACTATAATCTACTCAGCTGCATGATTCGTTTTAAAAAAAAAATAGGGAACAGAACTATACCACTTTCCTTACAAGAGTTTATAATTGACAGGGTTATCATAGGTAGTTTACATTTTTAGATCACCCAAATCCTAATATCTGTAGTAAACAGATCAGATAAGCAGATAAAATGGGTAACTATTTTATTTCTCTTGGCTATAAAGGTCCGAATACTATGTCAAATGATCGTGCTAGTTCGATTTACTGTTTTTTTTGTTACGTAACTCTGAGGTAATATTATAATCGTTATCTTGCTACTAACTAGCATTGATCCTTAGATTTTCTGATCCTGAGGTCCTTAGATAATCTGAAGACACCGGTATTTACTGTAGCTAGGAATTACAAACACTTAATGTGTATTTCGCGCAATCTCCGATCATGAAAATTTATACGCCTAATTGTCCCATACACAAGATTATATATATCCATATGGACCCAAATGTGCATATAAAAATGTCATATATCTAACTTATTTTACTGAAGATTTGAATAAATATAAAAGAGGTAATTTAAGCGCAATTAACGAGCGTGACGATACTAAGCAGAGAAAACTAAACTAGATTAACGGGACATTATTGTCGACAAAACCAGCCTTTAAGGATACCAAGTTTATTGATATTAGTTGCTAGGAAGATCGCATTCGTCTCGACAAGTATAGTAAAACCTATTTTATATGTTAGAATCCTGACGATCACGAAATTGCAAGTTACCAATTTGCGTGTGCTCTACCGGAAAATCTTAAAAAACATTCGTGGATTGAGTACGCACCTGCGCCAAATCGCTCGATTCAAAAAGAGACTTCTCTCAATTGCCATCAGCCTTCAACCTGGTGGCAGGACTACCGCTTCGAAGAGCATTATCTCGACAAAACGTCTTCGAAACAAGAATGGTGCTCGCCTCCGGCATTCCCAATTATAAAAGATTTCCTTACATAGGTATTAAGGTGCAAATCCGAGAGGTGTTCCGTAGTACTAAAGCACGCGCCCGGTGCAATTGCAGTAAGTCATCGAGTAAAGGCAGAAGCCGAAGACGTGCAAGCAACGAGGGCGTAATGCTAGAAAAAAAGCTAGAAGAAATAACTGTTATGCAGTGGAATATAGAGAGAACAGCCAGAGTATTATCACTGCCGCCGCCTTCTGCTTTAAGTACTAAGAGACCTTCAAGTCAAAGTCCTCCAAGCTGCCTAATTTTTAGGCTACCCACTCACCCGCGCGCTTATGCACCAGGGGAAACCGTTCTAGTGGCGCGGTACTTCATAAGCAAAAATTAGGGGATGTCAGCGTGACATTTGAACGAGGATGATTTCGTGGCCGAGGGTCACATGAGAAATTGGTGGCGATCTGAACACGAGAACTGAGAAACGGGGCGGCCCCCGTACGCGTACATTGCTTGATCTACTCATTCATTTCGAATACCGCCTACTACCCGTTACTAACATGCCTACGTTTGAGAATTATCTGGGGAGAACTTAGTTTTATAAGCAAGAATGCACCTACAAAAAAAGAGTGTGTAAAAAGAAAACGCACAAGCGCTTACTGCCTTAATAGTCACACAGGGCCATTCCACTAATCGTGCTCTCCTACGTGCTTCTCCTAGTGTATAAAGTAAACAAACATCCGTGATGTGCGAAATGTTCCAGGCGAAATTCTTTGTTTGACGTGTTGCGCTCCCTGAAGCAGCTTCAGCCTGACACAGCGGCGGAAATGGACTTGACCCCCAATGAACACTTAAATGGAGCTCACTGCAGGGCGAATCTATTTAAAGCGTGCTCACGATTTGGCGCGATGCCCTTTTTAACGTCAAACCCACACGATATCTGACAAGGTTTCATCCTTACGGCATGTGACACGCAATTTCAGGAGGTGCATCATGTCGTCGATCAAAGCATTTGCTTTTCGAGGTGTTCGTGTATTTTGAATCGGCAATCGATATGGCGCTCCGATACAATATTCTAGTAAAGCTCGCATAATGCGGAGTCCATTAAGCCTTATTGCATTTGATCGAAGCAATCGAAAGCTCTGTTAACGTGGATGATAGAATGATCCAACTCGAACCGTTCGTCCAATAAACGGGCGTTACACAGGATGATAACCTGAATCTGTTGTTTTGTCCATTTCTGCTGAATGATCTTCCCTTCATGTTCTAGATCCATCAGAGCACGTAAAACTACCGCTTTATGCCGATTATCACCTTTTAAAGGAGTCGGCTCATATCTATCAAGCTCGCACCGAGGTTTTATATGTACGTGAATAGAGAACTAGTCATTGATATGGACGAAACGGAGCCCGTCTTGTTTTATAGGCACGTTTCATGTAGGTAGAACGGCCTTGAAATAACAACATCGAACACTCGGGTGTGATCTTACCTACAAACGGTTAGGCCTTCCCAGAACACCATGAACAACGAGCAATAATGATAAGTGTGAGTCTATAAATTTTCTCTAGACTTTTTATATGAACGAATTTCAAACAGAAATGGTTCTGGCTATTTTCTAGTAAACTGAGGTAGCGTGGAAATAACCCTCGTCGGTGGGACTCGAATATCATACTGAATTAAAACTGTGTTCGTAGAGCGCGGAACGGCACGGAAAACCATGGAACTGAAGCGCGCACCATTGATCAGATACATCTAGTACCTTATAAGCGACATATCGTTATTCTAGAGGATTTGGGACGCAGATTCAAACTTTTCGCCATCTCGTGTTATTTAGAGTTTATCAGTGCATGGAGGAGAAAAATGGTGGAGATCGGTCCAGACTTTTCTAAAGAAAAGACGAATAGAACCCACTGTCACATGAGTTTCACCGCATTTTATGTAGTGCACTGGGTTTTCATTTATTAGACACTACGTGTGTCTGTACAAAATGTGGCGGAATCTGTCTTACGCGGTGTGCGGTATTTTCGTTGAGCAGTTCCTTTTATCGGCCAGATCAATTTAAATTTTTTTTAGTGTTAGCTTCTTGTAACACAATTGTATGTTTGTATATATACAATAAATAGGATACTTGATCAATACATAATAAATACAATACTTCTTGTTAAGTTCATTTGGAGTGCAAGTTACTTTGCCATAATATCAGGTTTCATATCCAGTCAAATTTATGTATAACCGTCCCTAAAATTAATAATTCACAAGTTTCATTAGATACCTGATAGATAGAAAAGGAATTGAGCTAATCTCGATAAAGTTAATATGACATCACATTCAACCAGACCTCACTGAGCAGTAATGACGTGCTTATTCATCTTGGTTGAGAAACAGTGCCACGCTAAAGTAAAATGTTTGCTTACAATTGCCATTTTTTGGCCATTGTGCAGAGGAGGCTCGATGCGGTTGATATGAGCCATCAAAAAAAAGAGACCCATGTTGTTCTTTTAAATCTAGGCTTATTTCCCGAAGATACCAGATCACCACTGTGTTTAGTTCTCTGTTAAATTAAGCTGTTCCATTTCATTACAATTTATTGGCCGTGCTCGTAGCCAACTTCGGATACATCTAAGATACACTGTAGTTTAAGCACTAGATAGTGGGTGTGTAGCCAATAAAATATTTGAAGAAAAATATTCTTGAAACAAATACTTTTCGCCAGAAGTGTATCTAGTAAAACACTACCCAAACGCTTACATGTCCCTAGATGTACATTTGGTTTGATAGTGACTCTATAAGGCTTCAGTTTTTCTCGGATATATTCGTTAAATGTACATGCCCACATCGCGCTTTATTCGTTGGCACTCCTTGTTATAGCCGATGAAACTTCATGTCCCGATACATGCGGGTGACCCTCGAATAACTGTTTATATATATATATATATGAAGTGAATGATTTTTGATTCATTTGATATACCCAATTGAACTATTTTGCCTATCTATCTACGAAAATCATCAAAATTTTTATCACTGATTGGTCGCGAGAGGTTAATTTTTGAGTGATTAATAATAGAGTAACCAAGCTTTCGAGGAAGAGTGCGTTGTAAGGAGGTATGCTGTACAGGGAGGTCTTCGACAAAAGAATTGAAAGCTCTATCCATCGTTGTAGTGAATTTAGTTCTTGTTATGCCTATGAATCTCTACCTTTACAAAATGTGGGAACAACACTATTTGAAGATGGCTTATTTTAGAAATAGAAACAGCGTTTTGGAAGTGTATTATTTCATCATCTGATAAGGCATTTGTTGCATACAGAGTTTTTATTAAGATTCTAACTTATGGCAAGATCCGGTTCGCATTGAGCCACAAATATCCAAGTGTGTAAGTTGATACCGAAGGTCAGTTAGGCAGCGATAAGCCAAGTCGGAAAAATCAAGCTTCTAGGTATAAATCTGCGAACCAAATCGACCAAAGAATTGTAAGTAGTAAATTGATTATACAAAATACAGCTTTCTAATGTTCTAAGATGTTTCGGTAAACACGAAAGGCGCATAACCAGCTGTGAAAATTCCAGACCATGACAAAGTTTACCGGCAGTCACTGTACATAGTTGAAAATATGCAATGACTCTCTGGCGTACACAAATGCGTGCCTCACGTTTTAAAGGGCTGTACAAAATATAAATGCCTGAGACGAGTTGGTTATGCTTAAAAATAAGAATGGGAAGTTCCCAGATATGAAGGCGAGAATGAGAAGCACTCATAAAAGAGCATTGGCCAAATTCCTAAAACTGTCAAATATGTGCT